AGCTTCTTCCTCAACATCAGCCTCAGCGTCATCAATAGATTCTTCCTCTACGTTTAACTCAACATCATCAACAGTTACTTCTTTATCAGATTCAACTGAGCTAGGCTCATCAAAACCATCGTCATTATCAGAAACGATATCGGCTTTCAATTCTGCTTCGGAAGTCGTAACCAATTCATTTTCTTCATCTTCCGTGATATCGTTAGTATCTGTTACTAAGTCTTCACCTGCATCTTTGCCTTCACGAGTAACATTATTTTGTATTTCTTCCTCAGATGCATCTAGGGTTTCAGTCAAAATAGAGTTAGTTTCGGTAGCAACATTGGATATTTCAGTTTCATCATCCTCAGTCATAGGATTAGTTTCAGCAGCTTTCAATTCAGTTGTCTCAATAACCGTAGACTCAATAATGTTCCCCATAGAAGCATTTGGGGCATTAATGATGGTAGATTGTTCAATGTAATTATTTGTATCATTAAAAAATGTTTCGGTGTTAATATCGTTACCTTTTGTTATTTCATCAATATCCTTAGTAATATCTCTAATATCTATGTTATCACCAGAAGAAGAAATATCAGTTTGTACGATAGTTGATGCAATTTCAGTGGTTTCTGTAGAATATGTTTCTACGAGACTTGTGAGAGAAACTTTAGTCGACTGAGAAGTCTCATTTTCATCCCATTCGTCCATTTTAAAGTATTGCTTTGTGGTATCGTCACCATCGACATTTTCGCCTCGTATCTTCTCTTTAACGAATTGGTAACCTGCAACTCCATATTCATTGGCAAGCTTAAAGCCTACTTGACCATAATGACTAGATAAGTCATAAAGCTGTTCCAATTGGCCATTTTCATAACACTTTTGTAAGAAGACTGCAACTAAACAAGCAATAACTGCCATAAAAATGTAATTAACTAGGGTGCCAATAATAGACTTACCATTTGAATAATTAGAGGGAATTTTCATAACGTGAAGTGTATTGGCTGCACTCACCGATGCGAGTTTTGTTCCACTTGGAGAAAACGCAACTTTTGTTATCGCAAAGCTGTGCAACTTGGTGAAAGTTTTGATAGTTTTAAAATCTGACAATCTAAGAACCGTAATAGAAGTATCATTCCCTGCTAACGCCACAAGGCCTTGCGAGAGAGAGATATCCATTGCAGTTATACCTTTTATTTTAGTAGAGACATCACGCTGCTTGATAATTTTCTTATCAGGAATGGAATACTGGAAGATTGATACACCCTTGCCATTTTTCAAGCTGGCAGTCAAAATGATATTCGAATCGTCAATGAATCTGACCTTCGAAAGATTATATTTAGCTAATGCTTTATTGGATACTGAATTGGCAGATGATATTGTATTTCCTGTGACTGTTGATACGGTCTCGATGGATGACGCCGTTATGTAGCATAACGTTTTTCCATCGTCACCTGGGCTCAAGTGAAAGTCCAAGATATCGACATCCCTTTCAGGTCTAAATTTGAAGTTAAGCTCTAATAAGTCTGGATTGAAGATGTATATGACAGAGGGGTTTCTGGATGTCATCAAACAACCCACCGAGTTATGAGATGACAAACAGACGATCTTGGGATATTCTCCTACCCCTTCGCCACTAATATCCTCCTCCAATTGAGCTGCGTCTACAAATCTTAGGTGCTCCTCACTAGTAAACACATACTTCCGCAAGTTATTATTGATATTCATCGACTTCAACAACTGCGTCGATTGATTACACCCAACAAAAACCGAAAAATTGTCCTCGTTGTCTGCCGAATCCTTAGCAATATCCAAACACATTGGCGAATCTTCATTCTTAGGCAATACAATCTCACGGAACTTCTGTAATCTTTTAGTCTTATCCGATATCTTCAAACTGCATTTGACAGCCGTGATCTTATTAGGAATACCGTTGTTACCTTCTCCACCTCCTCCGGTAACAATTATGGTCTTATTGTTAACGAATTTTGCCCCATATATAGGATATCCAACGTCTATAAGACCCGACTCTTTAGTGGACATAGTGATTTCCTCTATCTAATATGGTTTATTATAATTGATTCCTTCTAAAGTTTGTATGTTTATTATACGTGGCGGCTCGATCTATTTTTATTGTCTATTTGTCGTGCACATAAAATGTCTAACATGAAAAATCCTAATGAAGTAAAGAAACGACTTCAATCAGTCATAGCAACAGCAAGAAGGAGTAGATGAGCGTGAAGACTGTTCTATCGATTCTGTCGCATGTGGTTCATGGATATGTTGGTAACAGATCGGCGGTTTTCCCATTGCAATACAGTGGATGGGACGTGGACGCTATAGATACGACCAATTTTTCAAATCACCCCGGCTATGGTACGTTCAAGGGCAAGCCAAGCTCTCCAGAGCTTATTGAGAGTCTCTTTGAGGGTATTAGTGATATAATCAATGCAGATAGGGACTATGACATGATTTTGACCGGATATGCCCCCAACGAAGCTGTGCTCAAGGTGATCCATCGGAATGTGAGAGCTATCTTCCAGAAAGCACATACTAGACCAGTGTGGGTGCTAGATCCAGTGTTAGGTGACAACGGTAAGCTCTATGTGCTGGAAGAAGTGGTTCCCGCGTATAAGGACATTCTTGCAAGCGGATATGTGACTGTGGTGACTCCCAACCAGTTTGAGTTCGAGTTGTTGAGCGGCACGCCGGTATCAAGCTGGGAGTCGCTTGTGGATGCATTCGAGAAGTTTAATCAACAGTACAATGTGCCATATGTGGTACTATCGTCGGTCATATTAGACAACCGCATGTATTCCGTGGGCTTCACGGCCGCGGAGCCCAAAAACAAGATATTCTATATCCCTATTGACAAAATTGACTGTAACTTCAACGGGTGTGGTGATTTGTTTGCAGCCTTGCTAGCCAATGCCTTCTACTCGAACAGATCGATTCTCACTCCAAGGGTGTTGAGCGATGTAGTGATTAAGCTCACCAAGATATTGAACCATAGCTACGATTGTGAGAAATTAATTACTGGCTCAAACGAGATAAAACTGGTAAAGGACATCCGCATAGTGTCGCTGAGAGAGGTGCTATTACTGGATAATGGTAACGATCTCGTTGATGCCGCTAAATACTTATAGATTTGTTTAACTTGATAAACGTAGAGATACTGTATCACGCACTATCTAGAAATTTTGTAATCGCCACATTGATATTTGATAACGAAATCCATATCAAAAGTAGATAAAACTTTACACAATTATAAACGATATACTTGATGAAATTATGAAACAACTAGGAGAACAATATCCTTTGATAAGTCCGAAGAGACCTAGGAGAAAAGGAGGGCTTTCCATCGCGACTTACGTTGCTGTTTTGACGTTGATGGCATACGGGTGCATACGGTACGTACCCAAATATATTTTATCAGGGGGATGGTATCAAGCTCACAATGATGTTGTCGATGGGTTTGACCGTGGAGAAGCTATAGAAGTGCATACGGATGGAACTACATTCGAATTGAAGCATATATTCCACCGGGGAACGGGATCACATAATCATCGGGTTCATCGTAGGTTGGATATAACGCAGGAGTATCTTGAAGCCCATAACGAGGAATTGGAGGAGCTTACAACAATGGAGACAGAAGAGGTTGATGAGAATAATCTACAAGAAGTTTACGATGCTTACGACTGGCCCCAGGCGCACAAGGGCAAGAATCCGTGGACCATCAAACTACCAATCAGACAGTCAGTTACTAAAGGAGTAGTGAAGAGGTTGAAGGAGCGTCATACACCTAATTTCTTGGACTCGTATTTGGCATATGCATTATCCGTGAAGGGTAATCCAGCACTTTTGAACAAGATTGATCTCGAGTGGGAGGAAGAGCACGAAATACCGATTCCTGACGTCAAGGACCGAGACACGGTGGTGTCGTTGGCTACGATTTCGTCGAATGCATACGTTAAGTTTCCTAAGGATGACAAGGAAAAGAAGAGACTGGATTGGATTGACGTGGGCGATCCGTGGGTGCCAGACGAAAACCATACCGATATTAACTTTGGATGGGCTGACGATGGACTTCGTGGTCACGTATTTGTGAGTACAGACAACAAGACAGTGGTGATTGGAATCAAGGGTACATCGGGAGCAGGGCTTATTGGTACAGGACCAGAAGAAACTACTGCCAACGATAAGTTGAACGATAACTTACTTTTTCTGTGCTGCTGTGCCCGTGTGGGCTATATGTGGACCACTGTGTGTGACTGCTACCAGAAGGCATACACCTGCGACCAAGACTGCCTCGAGAAGGAGCTCATGCGCCAGGATCGTTACTACCAGGCGACGCTCGACTTGTATCGTAATGTGTCAAGTCTCTACGACCCACTGACCACCAACATCTGGGTCACAGGGCATTCACTTGGGGGTGCTTTGGCATCACTTGTGGGTAGAACATACGGGCTACCAGCCGTAGCATTTGAGGCCCCTGGCGAGATGCTAGCCACTCGTCGCCTTCATCTTCCCCAGCCTCCAGGGCTTCCCAAGCACTTGGAAAATATCTGGCATTTCGGTAACACGGCCGATCCTATCTACATGGGGGTGTGTAACGGCGTCTCCAGCTCGTGCAACGTTGCCGGGTATGCAATGGAAACTGCCTGTCACACCGCACACCAATGCGTGTATGATGTCGTGACTGACAAAGGATGGCGGGTGAATCTTCTCAACCACCGTATCCACACTGTCATCGATGACATTATCCTCGCTTACAACGATACACCTCCATGTGTGCAACAACCTCCATGCCGAGACTGCTTTAACTGGCGATTCACCTCTTCCGACGACAATAAGAATGATGAGCCGTCGTTACCCAATCCGTTGCACCCAAAACCACCTTCCACGGTATATTCTTCGAATATGCCCCATGCACAATCGCCTAATGCATCTCGTCCGCTCAGTACCCTCTGTACAGAGTCTTCCTGCACATCCTCCTTCCAATCAGTGTCGTCCTTATTCTCAAGCCTTCTTCCAAGTCATCCTTCGAAAAATCCTCACCGATGCTTGCGTAGAACATGGTACGGTCGTTGTACCAAATGGGACACAATAGCGTAGCCCATCATGCATCTAGCATATAGACCCTAGAAACAATAGGATTGCGCAGTTTCCAAGTGCCGCACTATTATACTATTGCAGACATAGAAAGAACTTACGTCCCAATATGAAATAAATAGCAAGAATAACTCTTTGGATTAGGAAATACATAAACAAACCACCTTCTTGGACCGGATTCAGCTCTATTTGTAGTTACCAAATTCACTAAATAGGTAATTCATTTGTATTGCGTTAGTTCGTTGTTTTAGGTATTTTCGATTGTTTATTAAAGATTTAAATGACTTAATCAGTTAAATACAAAAAGATATTTTCAGCGAAGGTTTAGCCCCATAAGCATTTTTTTATATAAGAATTTTTCCTTCTTTTATAAATTAAACATATTTGATATATTTCTTTCTGAATAGTCAATTGAATCAATTGGAATTACAGTAAACCATGAAAATTATCAATACCATTTTGAATATTGTCCTTTTAGCGGGAACATGTTTGTTATTGTTGCTCGTCATCTTATCGGGGGCTTCAGACAACTTCCCATTGAATAAGTTCTACTGGATTAAGGCTGATACATCGCTGATTTCTGGTGCTCCAAGCTCTGCCGCATGGACTTTCTGGGGTGTTTGTGAAGAAAAGGATTTCAGCAAATGTTCACTGGGTCCAGCATACCCAATTTCACCAAAGGATAACTTTGACACAACCAAAAATGTGCCAAAGGACTTTGTTGACAACAGAAACACCTACTTCTACTTGTCGAGATTTTCATTTGCATTTGCTCTTGTGGCCATTGGTTTCGCTGGTATCGCCCTTATTGTTGACTTGCTTGCATTCTGTTTCCAAGTTATCGACAAGGTTGTAGTTGCGTTTGTCGCATTTGCGTTGTTCTTCATTGCTGCTCTTGCTGCTTTCCAAACGGCTGTTGTGGTGTTGGCCAGAAATGCCTTCAACCAAAACAACATGCACCCTGATGTTGGTCTCAAATTGTTGGCTATCACCTGGGCCGCAGTGGTTTGTATTTTGCTTGTTTTCTTCAACACCTGTTTTGCTAACATCTCCAACTCCTACAAGAAACACATGTCCAGAGTTAGAGAAAGCCAAGGTGTCAACGACACCTCTGGCCCTGTCGCCACCCAGGGTGATGACTCTTCTTTCACCAGAGCTAATGCTGGTCCTGTCGACCCAGAAACTAGAGAAGCTGACAATGGTGGCATCAGATTTTTCAAGATTAAGAGAAATAACCAAAAGATCTCCGATGATGAAAGCATCTAATCTTCGTCTTTTATCTTAACAATAGTTAATACATTCTTCTAACGATACCATTTCAGTTTACTTTTTCTATATAACTGACGATGAATTTACTTTAATATTATAATCGCTTTTGTTCCTTATCTATTTAAAATCGCTCTTGTTTTTATTTGTATTATTAATAAAGTCCTAATCATACATGCTCTTCCTGTAGCCGTCTGGTGTCTCGACGCTATTAGCCACCATGTTCATACGCTTTGATGGGTGAAATGGGCCTAATTGCTATTATGACCTCCTATATATAAAATCGATGTTACCCACACGCACTCTAATTTTCGATGTTCCCCTGGCCCTATGATTAGCTATAATATATTTTATTCCATTCTTTTCGATTTCGAAAGAACTATTGTTTGATAAATATCTGTTTGATGAAATAATTGGTTAGGCTAAATATTGTTTGAAAGACTGAAGTTTATTAGCAGGTATTTTGAGAAAGATAGCAAATAAGCATAAAAATTACGGCATTAGCGGTTTTTACATAAGAAGCGGAAAAAGTGACGGAAGCGACAGGAAGAATGCCAACAGAAAACGAATCTCATCACCGCCATCATGGATTGAGAAATATATTCAAAAAGGAACATAGTCCTGGGTCTAACTCAGATTCTGGGAAAGAATCGGTACATGGGTCGCATGTTGGGTTATCGAAGCTTTTTCACCATAATGGAGATTCAAAGGCCGAAGTGCCTAGTGGGTCCAGCGGAGGGCGAATTTCGAGAACCCCGTCGGTTCTATCGATGAGGAGACATAATTCGAATATGACAAGGACGAATAGCAACATTGAAAACGAGAAGACCCCTAAGAAGTTATCGAAGGCCGAAACGATGGCACATCTTCAGCAGATCAACAAGAATAATGCTGCCAGAAGTGTACGACTGACAAACGAATTGAGGTCGGGGGCACCGGCTACAGGAGCCCGTGGGGGTGGATTAGCCATCACCCCAAACGCTAACCACCTGCATCACGAGAAGATAAAGTATAATCCGTTTGGAGTTAATAAAAGTCCTTCGGCAGAACATCCAAGTACCAGTTTTTACTTGTCGGGAGGGCCTGATGCTAACCGAGTGTTGAACAATCCTGTGGCCGATCCTAATGACTTTTTGCCGGATGAATTGAAGCAAGAGCACGTCAATCTTTTGGAAGATTTTGAAATCGATATGCAGAACAAGAAGTTGGGAGATGGAGGATCGTCGGATGTACGTATAATCAATGCGGCCCATAATAAAAAGAATGTTTATGCCTTGAAGAAGTTCACATTGCTCGACAAGGAGAGTGACGATGATTTCTATAAGCGGGCAATAAAGGAATACATTATTTCTAAGAAAGCAAGCAATAGCAGACATGTGGTCAACACCATAATGATGGTGAGGATCCAATCCCAAGCAAATTTAACCAGGGGATGGGGTATCATCTTGGAATTATGTAAAGGTGGTGATCTATTCAACGCCATAATAAAGCTGGGCTGGAAAAGCTCGCCATTGAACGAAAAATACTGTATTTTCAAACAAATAGCACACGGGGTTAAATATTTACATGAATTGGGCATAGCCCATAAGGATCTAAAACCAGAAAATGTCTTAATTGATGGTAGAGGAATTGCCAAATTATGTGATTTCGGCGTTAGTGGCTATGGTAATGAAATTAAAGGAGATACGTCGTCACCGATTAAACTATCTACTGCATATGTTGGTTCACCACCATATTCTCCCCCAGAAGTCATGAAATTAAAGGATGTGAATGGTAGTGATGTCAAAAATTGGGCATATGACCCGTATAAGATGGATTGCTGGGGTTTAGGAATGTTACTTTTTTGTATTGTTTATCGTGGTGTCCCATTTTCATCTGCATCTCCTAATGAACATGCTTACAGAGACTACAAATTTAATCACAGTCGTTATGCAGGAGATCATCCTAACTTTAAAACTAACCAAGAAGTTACAAAGGGTCCTGGAAGTGAGTTTAAATGGGCACTGCAATTTCACTCCTCCGGTGCAGCTAGAGTTGCTTGGAAGCTATGTGACCCGTCAGTCTCCAATAGATACACTATGGATTTATTATTCGCAGACCCCTGGTTCACTGAATTGGAAATGTGCATTTATGAACATCCTGACCAAGATGTGAATCCTATTGTTTCGCCACCAAATTCTTCAAATCCATCATCGGGGCAGACTTCCCGTGCACCTTCACGTAAGGCAACAATTGGTTCAAATTATGACAGTGATGAACTCCATTCATCATTTAGAAGTATGTTAGATTTGGGCGGTCAAAGTAATGATACCAGTCCAAACGTAAACCAAAATGCAAAGTTTAATCATGAAGATGATTACCGTGACAGAGATGATGGCTCGATTCACTCAACTTCTTCAATTACCCACACTCCTTTGAAACTTCACAGAGGCGATAGAGCGAATTCATACGATCGTATAGAAAATCAAGAAGGGTTTGAAGGTATGGATAACGACACATCATCAGAGTATTCAAATTCAAAAAGATCGATGCTAGATCCATTGGATGAGCCCGCTCTCAAAGATTCGCAACAACTATCGAGTGCTAACTTGCCGGCATTGAAAGAGGATGAAGTAGAAACATTTGATAACGTAAGTAAACCACAAGAGAATATGTCTACAGCTTCATCGATTCTGTCGTCAACTCGGAAGGGTTCCGGAGAGCCGCTCGTCCCCAATGAAAGTGAGAGCTGTGACGATGCTGCACCTAAAAAGAAATCGCTTCCTAATCTACATGAAAAGACCTTAAAAAATAGTCCAGACTTACATATAGATACCAATGGCATATGTGAGCTAGGTTATAAGATTAAAAAGCATCATCATGTGGGAATAAGTAATTTTACTGTTTCTGGATCATTATCTAGAAAACGATAAATTAGAACCATAAAGGGAAATTTTTATTTTCAGTTTCGTCATTTGGCTTATGAGTGTTTAAATATACAATAAATAATATATACTAAGTGCGTGGATATACTTCGGTTGCCAGACAAGATTTAGAGCAATATGATTACAGGCTTAATATGACATATAATAACGTAAATGTACATTTTTTTATATTAAACAGAAAACTATTTCATGACTTAAAAAAACCCGGACTAAAAATTGATATAAAATTAATGTTCAAGGTAAACTTAAGCTTCTAAAGCAACTCTACCCTTTGGGTTAGTGACCTTAACACCAAGCTTCTTAGCCTTAGCAACAATTTCAACTCTGTTTCTGGCAGAAACATTGTGGGAAATTTCAGCAGCGTAAGTCTTAGAGTGTAATAATAAAACATCTAAGTCCTTGACGTTCTTGACTAAGAAAGCCTTGTGGCCGGATGGCATCATGTGTCTAGTCTTTTTGTTGGAACCGTAACCAATGTTTGGTTGTGAGATGGTACCTCTGAATCTTCTTCTGACACAAGAGTCAATACCCTTTTGCTTTCTCCAGTTTTCAGCGACACGGTGGTATCTGTCAGAGTGGTGTCTCTTGAACTTCTTGGTGTGCTTTTTAACAATCTTTGGGTGTGGAAGTGAAGCAGCCACTAAAATATATGTTAGTACTCAGTTTATATAATATACTATAAACTCGTTCATTATCAAAACTATCGTCTGGTATTCTAATTATCCCACGTCCATTAGTACTCTCACTTGTTCTTCATATTCAAAGACCATATTAATCATTTTCCATCTCTGGCTCTGTTGATCGGCCTTCTATCCATATTCCATCATTTTTCATAATTTTTCATCTCCATTTCTATGTTCTCCTGTCTACATTTCTCTCCTTCGAATCCAGCTCAATAGTTCTGTCTAATAATACGCTATTCGTTTATACGTTTCCATGTTTCAACATACTTTTTGTTAATGTGTGATAAGCTATATTAAGTGTAAATTGTCTTCCCTAATAAAAAATTTTCATATAAAATTTCTCAGTCTACCAGAGACGATACCAGAACGACAACAAAGATGGTATTGCCACGACAATCTCCCGAAATTTGTAAAAATGAGCTCTCTAGCCATATACAGGAATATATCAGCTTCCGGTGGGGAGTTGCGATAGCACAAAACGCCACAAGGTCTAAACCCTAAAAGCACGCACGCGGAATAGAGTTGGAAGCTTAATTTTAATTTGAGTTTCCAGACGTGGGTTTGTGGTGAAAAGATGTCCCAAAGGGGTATCTGGTTACCGCAGGGCACTCTCATCGAAGCACAGCACAAATAGAGATGGTTTGCAGGTTATACTGGCATATTATTACGGATTGTTTACAGGTTATGATCATTTACGATTACGGTAGAAATTGCTGCCAAACAAACAAGAAAGAGCTGGTTGAAATCAATCGAAGAGATATACGAATAAACACCCATAGAAGCGACAAATTGTTTCAATATTACGTTCATCGAATTATATAGCACTAACGAAGACATATAGCATTAAAGGTGCAATGGTTAATTTCGTGAGGGACGATATATTGTATTATGGCGGGTTGGTATTGGGCGCTTGGGTGGTTGGATGGTATCTAATATATTTGGTGAGTGGGTTCCATTTGAAGACTATAGGCATAAACAATGGGATACTGTTCAATGGGATCAGCTATAGTAATAAGAAGGTAAGTTTGACACTCAGGTCGTTCAGGTTTCGGTTGTGGGGTAACTCAAGAAAGATAGTGATGGATGATTTGGTGATAAAATTGCATAGCGGTGATTCCAACACGAAGGGGACCAAAACGCCCGAGAAAAAGGAAGATTGTGGCAATGAGAGCCTTGATTTGGCAATATTCCCTTCGAATTGGATTGCCAGGGTCGTTGTGCGGTTCATCCTTGGACATGTACCGGGCATCGACATTGGGTTGAAGCATATGATGTTGATACATCCAGACTCCACATCCACTACAATTGAATATTTGAGGTTCATGTTGGTTTCGAGGTACAGCAAGAAATCTGAGAGTGATGTGAAGTTCTACACTACGTTAGTGGTGAACGACGTAACGAATTCGAGTGAATCTGACAGTTTAAAGCTGGTACCTCCCTTGTCATTGCAAACTTTAAAGGTTCAATTGAACTTGCTGATAAATATGAACCAAGGAAATGTTCATAATATTCAGGTGAGGCTCTTTACCGATGAATTCAAGTGTGTTATATTTCGAACTGCCAAGCTCTTCATCGACAGAATTAAGAGAGACATGGAATTCAGTGACAAGAGTAATGAGCCTGGAGTCAGATTTACCCCTGAAACTAAAAACGAACCTAAATTTAATTATCCTGAAGAGGAAACTTCGAAGCAAGAAGATGCCGGTTCATCTAAGCTTCAAACTAAATTTGATAAATTTATCAAAATTAGGAATAAATTATATCCAGTAATCAAGGAGATATCCTTCAGTTTAGACAACTCAGAATTATTGGAAATTCCATTTGCAATTACGGATAAGAAGATGTCCTTCAGTGATTATTTTGATTATTCTTCTCGTAAGCGTTCTTTGAATTTATTTTCTAAAAGCATTTCATTCAATTACCTGAAGTTAAATAAAACAGCTGCCGGATACCATGTTTTATTTGATTCCGAAACAGACGACCCATTTCAAGTTAATACTTCTATTCAGTCTTTAAAGATTAATTATTGCAAACACACTACAGAAAACGGTAAGACAACTTGTCGCAAAGATGAAATTCTAAATATTCCAAATTTTAACTACACTTACAAATCGAACATTTTAGATTGTATGGTTAGGGATAGAGGCTTTGAACACTGTGTAACAGAATTTGCCGCTTCAGCTTGCAGCCCCATGATTGATCTCAATACCGCCCAATTGGCAACATTGATATACAATTGCGTTTTAATAAAGAAATATTTTACTTTAAAGCAATTGAAAAAGAGAAATAAAAAAATGAATCATGAAATAATTAGGGAACATACTAATGTTAACGATACTGATTCTGACGGTGACGATATCGACACAACACAAGTAGACTCCGATACTAATGATGATCTTGAAAAATCATCTCGAGCAAAATATAGACATAAGTTGCTTAAACTTCTCAAAGATTTTTTTCCCAAGGTTGATACAAAGTTTGTCATTGAACAGCCAAGAATTATATTAAGGCACCACGATAAGGTTTCCGGTAAGGTTCAAATATTAGATTTTTCATATTCGCTATTAAACCTTCACACATTCACCACTTCAACAAGAGACTACAACATAAATTGCCATGTAATACACCCTTGTGTTAATTACGTAGAAAAAACTAACTTATCGTCAAAAGTCGAGAACGATAAAGTAATCAAAAAAGAAATATTAAGTTTCAGATCAATAAATTTTAGACTTGATATTTTAAAAAATATTGAAGTTAAATCTACAATGGCGATAAATGAGCCAAGGATAGATCTATCTCAATTAAACATAATTACTGGAATTAATGATTTATTGCAAGATATCACATGTATGGCACGAGAACATTTGAATTCTGGGTTGGTTAATTTGAATTTAAATGCTGCAATTATCAAACAAAGACTAGTTTTCCCTAATATGGCACAAAAATCCACCTCTGAATCGGCTTCGCTAGAATACAAATTATTCAGATACTTACCGGATTGGTTTTTGGGCCTGGAAATTAGTATTTCCAAGTTAAGTTTTATTTTAGGGTCCCGCTCAGTCTTAATCGCTAAAGATTACTTGGATGAAATTAATGGAGAAGGCTTTAATGCGGATTTTTTCCCTGATAATCATAAGTTAAGAAATGTAAGGTTTACAATTGACAGGTTGGATTTGAATATAAAAAACAAATTTTACGATCCAGATTTTAACATCAATTCTGACTCTACAGATACCTTACCTACTAGTGAAAATACAACTGTATTTTGGACAATTGATATGCAAATGAGCAAAGTACAATTTGCACTTCAACTTCTCTTGAATAAATCCGATGATGAATATAGCGAATTGTTGAATATGCCCATGACGGATATTTTTTTCAGTGCAGTTAACTTCAACGGCATAAATGACTTGAAGGTTGATGTATCTATAGAAGATATCGTAGGGAATTATAACAGATACAAACTTTCTATTCTTATCGGTGCGATCTATTTGGTGAGAGAAGCCATACTATCTCCGGTTAAGGTGATAAAGAACAAGCTTAGAAATGATATGCAGAAAGTTTCTAGCAACTCATCTATACAAATTGAAACACAAAATAGAAAGTTAAGTGATTTTTTGGTTCTTGCTTGCCGGGTTAAAAGATCAAACTTTGAATTATATCTAGATGACAATTATAGGGTCAAGTTACAATTACATGACTTAATTGCAAATGCTAGTGGCGGGGTTCTTGATTTGCATAATAAATTCTTTAGAATACTTGCAGACTCGCCATTCATCGCTGGGCATTGGTGCAGAATTGCTTGTGTTGATGATCTAAAAATTACTTTTAATGATCCTTCAAGCGAGTCAAAAATTAATCTTTCATCAGAGTCTATAAGGCTAATTCAACCTCATGGTTTTGTGGTGTACAGATTATTCGATAATTTATCAATAACAATTAAGATTTTAAAACACTTGATAACTTGCTTAAAGAATGATAACATCAAACGTAAAAGCATTGAACCAAAAGAAAGTAAAGCTATAAATCTTCCTCCTATTCGAATTAAGTCAAAGAAATTATCATTCAGTATGGAAGATGATCCATTCGAATGTGAGTTAAATATGATTTATCAATTGGGACTTGTGGAACAACGGAAAAGGTTGGAGCAAATGTCATTGTTTGAGGGAAAAACCTCCAAAGATAACCTGAGCAAAGCAGAAACCATATCTAACTCAAATAAAGTTGATGAAAAACTATTCTTCCTAAGAAAATCTATTTCAACATCTTGGATAAGGAAGGTAAAGATCTATAAGGCTAAATTGAGTGATGAGATTATTCAAAATAAAAAGTTTTTATTTGGAAATGAAGCATCTTTACCAGTTGATAAAAATGAAAGAATAATTGCATATATGAACCAGGCTCCTTTGCTATCTGTAATAGTGTCTCACTTTGATTTAAATTTATCATCAACAAAGTTTGAATTGAAGAAACTACCGCAGTTTATTCATGATATAGGACAAGGTGTACCCCTAGATACCCGTTATTCCTTAATGATTCCGATGTTTATCAGCCTTCAGCTTTCAGAGCTTCGTATGCATTTGCGTGATTATCCGCTTCCATTATTGAGAGTTCCGTATAATAAAGATAAGTCATCTACTTTATCTATGGCAGGTCATTTGATATTATCGGAGGCTTTGGAGAATGGAATTGAACATTTGAGAAATTTACATATCCCCTTAGTACCGGATGTTAAGAATATTGCAAGTGATAAGCACTATGCATTAACCATAAACAAGTCTTTATCGTCAGTGAAGCTATATACAGATCTTAGTATTAACTTTTCCTCAAATGAAGCAAGCAGGTTTGTATGGGGTCAGTCATACCAGTTTGGAATACAACAAGTTATGTTAAACTTTGATCAATTTTCAAAACCACCAGTTGACCCGTCTTCGAAGCTTGGATTTTGGGACAAGATGAGATACATTATACACGGAAAATTTAGAATTGAAACTGGGCAAAACAACAGCTTAGAAGCAGCATTCAAAGGCTCCAGGGATCCTTATGATTTATTCAATGTATCATCAGGATTTGTATTAGCTTTTAATGATGATGTTTTGTGGACTGTTAATGAGAATGATGATTCTCAACTGTTTATGAACGTTAAATCAGATAAAGTTTTGTGGTATATTCCTAATTATTTAGCGACACCACTAGTGTCATGGTCAAGAGATAGCTCAAAGTACATCTATTTACCGAACTCAAAAAGCTTTCTTTCATCATGTTTTGGATACTTTTTAGAAGACACACCACACGATGATTCAGATGTTAGTTTATCGAAGTCTCATATCTACGAAAAGAAAGTGGTAAGCTTGAAAGGTGGCGTGAATTTTTCCGTAGGGTTTTTGTTGCAAAGAGATACTGGTTCTGAAATAACTTCTCGGGAACTTAAGCACCATTATGACATTAAGCTTTTCAATCCAGAATACACCAAAGAGAACCACGATTCTTATGCTGGTTTTAGAAGTGATCATATTAACATGTCGATTTCTTTTCATGCGAACACAGAAAATAGTTACAATTGTATTCATTTGAGTCCTGGTACATTTAAACAATTTTTTAGCTGGTGGACTTTATTTGCAGGTAACATGATGATACCAGTAAGACGGGGTAATTTATTTGGCGATTCCAAAAAATCAATGAAGTTTTCTCAGCATTTATTCAGCAATAAATTCCAATTCAATTTTAAATCTTTGTTCATCACACATATGTATAGAGATGAAAATGTCGACGCTAACGAAGATAAAATTGAATGTGTTGGGGTTAGAGCCAAAATGGACGAATTTCTGGTCGATTTGCATCAAGTCAAAGAACCTCGTATCATGGTACATGAAGGTTTATCCAAGAATAAGAAGATTATGAAGATGAATTTCCGAATTGGTGAGGTGCATCTAACAGGCATAGATTTGAGAACGGTTCATGCAGCTTTTGATCAAGATGTATATGAGCGCAGAATGCAAAATGAAAATAGGAAATCTAAGTTTGAAGTCTTTGATAATGATGCACAATGGTTTGATATAGAAGATTACGAAGAAGCATTTCTCCCAACTTTGCGGAAATCACGGAGGTCAATTAAAATTAATGCTTTAATGTACTCTAAAAGGTTTTCGTATTTAAGAGATACGACTAATCAGTCAAACGAAGTAGTTACAACGCAAGGGGATGATGATGCACACGGCTGCCTCCTAGGGTCGAAAAATATTTATTCACTTCAAATAGACATCTTGAAAGATAGGATAAGGCAATTAGAGGAAAGAATAAATATTAATAAGAGCAAGCAGCTATCAAACGAACAATTGTATAAGAGAATTGAATTTTTAAAGAATTACATCAAGGAACAGGAATTGAAACTCCTGCAAAATAAAGACAAAGAAAGCAACTCATCCGAGTCAAATTTCAATTCTATGTTCCATAACAAATTCGTCTTGGTTTGCATGTTCTTGAAATGGAATGTTCAAAATAGAAATTTGTTGTACAAATACGTTCATTTTGTTCAATTAAAGGTCCAATTGAGAAAATATTTATCTTATGAATCTATAAGGGCGATTCATAATATTATTGACAGTAACATTGCTGAAACAGGCGGGGATGAATTTTCTCTTGTTTCGGAAGCCTTAAGTAGGATGAAGCTGGAAAAATTGGCGAACGCAATTTCTGGAAAAGCTGAATCTTCACAACAGAGATTGAACAGCCTTGATAGCATAATACGGAAAACCAATGAAAATCAACGAGTTTCCGAGGATTTCTTAATCGAAATTCTTTATCCTCAGATTCAATTGCAGAGTGATGAAACACCAAATAATATTGTTTTAGTGGCGGCACCTAGTATAGATGCAAAGATTGTATCTGTTCTAACGAAGTCAGGCAACCAATTAGTAGTCAATGAACGTGAATTAGAAAACAGGTATGGTGTCATCTTGAGAGAGGCAAATATTTTTGTTTTAAATAAAGAGGACGTTCTGAATGTCAATAAATTGATTTTAAATAAGCGAACTTACGGATCTACGACAAGCTGGCCTCCTTGGTTAGGAGTTGAAATTTGTAAAAATGGAAAGCTAGCTGGAGAAGATAAACTAATCGTTGAAAAAACGTCGATGTTGATTACCTATGATCAAATAAACCCATTAGGAAATCAATTAATTAATGATAATGAAGGTAATTACGAATTGGAAGAACTTGAAGATGAATCTATATCCAAAAAAGTCAATGTTAATATTCCAGAATTCAAAATCTTATCAACAGCAAAGCAATATCATACTTTGTATGTTATTGTTTTACATTTGCTCTTTTATGTGGAGCCAAAGAGTAAGTCTTTAAGTGAAAAGTTGGAAAAATTAAAGTTTTCAATAGATTTCTTAGATTTGATTGCATTGAACGAAAGATTAATCAACCTACATAAATACTATAGACTAATGAATATTTTGTCTAATAATTATGGGTTCAGGCAAGGCATGTTAGACAATGAAGGTTTGAATGAACATCTAATGCTTAATGTTGAGCGAGGAAATACCATCACTGAGATCTATTTGTTAATGAATTCATTGCTAACAGGAGAATTATTTAATGATGATTCTAATTCTAAAACATTGGCCGAATGGAATATAAATGCAGATAGCATCCAACTATGTATGCTCGAGGATGATCGGACCCCTATTTTGGAAATTTTAATGGATCACGGTAAATACAGAAGACGGATCAACGAGAATGGATCAAATGATAATAGAATTGAAATTGAAAATATGCAAGGCAGTAATTTATTGCATAATGCTTATTATGATAAGATAATGGAGCCGCTAATTGGATTTTCTGGTAGCGAACATGATGAATCCGAGAATTTGATAACTGTTGATTGGTCTATGAAAAGATCTATTGGTGGTATTAAAGTGTTGGATTATTTTTCGATAAATTCACAACCGTTAAATATCAAAATTGATGAAATAACTGGTGAGAAGTTATTGAGATACATATTTCCATCTGGATCGGATAACGAGAACTACAATCTATTTGGAAACACGAATGATGAAGATGATCAAAGTGACACCGATGAAGATGATAACCATAAAAACAAACGAGAATCATTCGTTCAAGAGCTAGATGCATCGAAAAAAGTTGTAACATTCCAAGATGATAATTCTGGCTCTAGCAACAGAGGCAGTCAAAGAAACCAAATGAAGTTTGATCGGTCTATGACAAGGTTATCAAACAACAAACTGCAGTTATCTAGTTCATTATCTTCGAATGACGAAGGAGATGCAGATCTAGATGAAATGTTCGAAAGGTCAAAAAAATATTTGAGTATCGGAAATTTGAACATCAGTCCAATATGTCTCTTGATTTCAGTAAAGTGTCACAGTGGATACAAGAAAATCTTAAATGTTCAGGATTTGTTTATTAAGTTACCAGAATTTACTATTGGAAATCAGGTACTATCATTGTTAGAAGTAACTATGAAATTTAAGAAAATGATTAAGAAAGCATTATTAAGTCATATTGGAAGGTTATTGAGAAATAAGATGACAGTTAAAAAGAACAAAATCAGAAATAAAAATGATGCAAATGCTGCTCGAATGGTGACTGATACATAGATATAATTTTATAAATAGTTTATAAAATCATGCAATACGATATAAGTAGATAATATTTGTTAGGTTATCATTATTTCATTAAATAGTACATACGTAAGTCTATTATACATGTTGTCGTTTTATGTCTCCGCCATTTGGCTGCAACTTCTTCTTACGTTTATTCTTCTTAGATCCACCAAACTCATCATTCTCCGACATGTCATCGCCTCTCATTAATGTTTGCTGGTCATTTATGGCCAAATCTGAGGTATTGAATCCAGGTATTCCATTCACAGAAGTCTTTTCAAACTTTAATGCCTGGCTTAATAGACCTGCGTCCAATGATTTAATCAAATCCGGCGCCTGCGATATTGAAGGATCTAACAAGGTTCCTGGAACTGGTTTCGGTGGTGGTATTTGATGCTTTCCCGGTAAATCTTGAATATGATTTTTATATGATTTTCTTAATTTAACCCCCTTCGAACCGTCGGGATTTGTTCTTGCAAGCGATTTAGCAATTGGTTCTAGGCCATACAATGATAACAAATTATCTAATGGAGATGGATGTGATAAATTATATTTTCCTTTACAAAACGTTAGTATTTCATCCTATACTAGTGTTTGTTCAATTAACAAAAGTATCAAAACTATTAAAACATACGATTAGAATTAATTAAATAATAACTATCTATCCCTTGACTGAGGTTCTTGTCACCTTCTTCCATCCTATCTATAAATACCTCTTTTAAGTCTCCTGGTATGACGATTATAATTAAATAAGTAATTGTGAATAGAATTTCATATTTAATTGTTCGTAATCGCACGCTACAAAATAGCCAGAGGAACAGAATTAGCATCTATTACAGCATACTTTAACAAATTATGAGACGAATATCTATACAGTAAGAATTTATAAATGGATATTTCCAAAACGAGTGGAAAAAATGTAGAAAAGGATCATACAATATAAACAAATGAAATTAAATAGTTAGCTGAATTAGGGAAAACCCCAAAATTAATTTACACTTCTTATTTACCAACGACTTCCCAGCCTTCACCTTCTTTATTGTTGACAGACAATTTGGAAGTTTCCTCTTCTAAGCCAGTAGTTGCTTGTTCAGCCTTTGGTTCTTCAACCTCTTTTTCTGGTTGAGTTTCTTCATCGTCACTTTCAACAGTGAGAACATCAAACGACGACTTTTGGGGTTTTGGTTGGTTATCTTTCTTTTCGTTATCAACCTTCTTGTTTGCTTTAGAAGTCTTACTGTTACTACGAGAATCCAAAGCTTGACCTCTCTTCCAGTCTAAGGCTGGTTCTTGCTTTCTGTCTGGTCTTTCAGTTCTAGCAGATCTTTCTCTTGGTGGCAAAGTACTAACAGAAGATCTTGCTGCACTCCAATCGAATTCTGGCTCATCCTTTTTAGGTCTTCTTTCGGATCTTTCACCTCTTCCACTCTTTTCTCTTGGTGGTAAAGTACCAGCTGAAGATCTAACTGCACCCCAGTCTAAATCTGGTTCTTCTCTTCTTGGTCTTCTTTCGCTTCTTTCGCCTCTTTCACCTCTTTCACCTCTATTTTCTCTTGGTGGTAATCCACCTGAAGATCTGGCAGAACTCCAGTCAATTTCTGGTTCTTCTCTTCTTGGTCTTCTTTCACCTCTGTCACCTCTGTTCTCTCTTGGAGGTAAACCACCGGAAGATCTGGCAGAACTCCAGTCAATTTCTACTTCTTCTCTAGGAGGTCTTCCACCTTCCATTGGTCCACTTCTTGCAGATCTCCAGTCCATGTCAAAAACATCAGCTCTTTGAGGAGCAGCCACGTTAACGAAAATCTTTCTACCGTTTAAATCTGCCATGTTCAAGTTCAAAGCTTCTTCTAATAAAGCTCTCTCTGCGAATGTTACAAACCCAAAACCTTTCAACTTTCCTGTCATGTTATCCACAGGTAACTTGATATCAGAAATTGCATCTTGCACTTGCATACGGTCTTCAAAAAATCTACCTAAGTCTTGCTCTTCAACATCCCATGGTAAATTAGCAACTCTAGCTCTGTATGGTGGTTGGTCTGGGATTGGAAATTCTTTTCTTTCACGTCTTTCTTCATTGTCTCTGAACCCACCTTGTGGTTGGTAGGTTCCTTCTCTTCTAACACTAGTGCTTGCTTGAGATCCAGTAATTGGAACACCGATAGAAGACATATCAACTTCTTCGTCTGCCCATGATCCGCCGATCGAATTATCGGTTAAGAATGAACCTAAGTCCATTTTAACAGATTTTTTAGGAGCTAATTCAATTGTTAATATTTCCGTTTCCGTCATATATCTTTCTTAAAATAATACTCTATCCACTAGTTACATACCCATCTTGAATATAAATTGCTTTACTCTGATTTAACTAAGTATAAATTACCTATATTTTAATAACTTAATGAAATCCTTCCCAATTTTTCCATCAAAATTTTTTTTTTTCAGTCTCGCGAATGATTATGTAAATTACTCCATCACAAAATCTACTACTTAAACATTAATAGAACCAAGTATTAAATGAAATATTAATAAGCATAACTAATTGATATATATATAGAGTAGAAATAAATGTAGCTATAATAGAGCCGTAGAATAATATACAACTCCAACATAAAGAACACGATTACAAATATAACAAAATCACATAGACTTTAAAGACAGAAGTCAGTGTTAATAAATACAGTAATAAATAAGGGTCCATAGGACATTTGGTTAAGAATTAAAGAAAGGATAATTGTAATAAATTCTTCATACCCTTTGCTCAACAATATCTCTTGAAATATCAGTTGCAGAAACCTGTCTTGAATTTGATGTGTAAGGGGTGGTATTCGATTCGGTTGTTACTGTTCCTGTATTTGCGTTGGTTATATCATCCACACTAGGATATTCATTGGTGGCAGGCAATTCATTGGCGATGGCATTTCCGCTATTCGATTCACTGGGGTTGCTGTTATTGCTAATGCTATTGATATTTTCAGTAGCACTAGGATTGTTGTTGTCGATGTTGGAGTCCGCATTGGCATTTGCATCGTTGGTGTTATTAGTCGTTGAGGTATCCCTAGCTATATTTTGTCTTTCTTGACGATGAATAGTTATTACAGCCCAATTAAACAAATCTTCTTTTTTGATACCCATGATTTTCCACCACACCACCTTTAATGCGTTCCCCCGTTTTTTCGAAGCAATTTCATTAGCCCTTTGTTCGATATTTAAATGAGCCAAGGAAGTGTCATTTAATATCGTCCTTACTCTTTCATGTAACGGAACTAGCTCTTGAAGCAATGCTGTTAAAGCAGGATCATTTCTGAAAGCGTCGAAATCAATATCATCATAGTCATCGTCTGCATCGTTATTTTGATTATTGTTGGTGTTATTATCATCACCGCTTCCATTAGCAGTGCTGCTACCTTCACCTTGGTGGCTAAGGCTATTATTATGTTCATCCTTAAAAAAGTAGTCTCTTTTACACATAGGACAGCACGCACGCCTCTTGGTAAGCCATGGATCTAAACAATCAGAATGAAATACACGCCCACAAATCAATCCTCTAACGTTATCATCGTTCTCCAAGACTTCAAGACAAATGGCACATGTGCCTGAAGTGAAATGCAAATCATCATCGGTTTCCTCTGATGGAGACGATACATGAGTCGCGTGAGGAATTTCGTCCAACTTCATATTCTGCATTTCGATTCCTTCAACCTTTGTAATAGGTGATTGGTTGACATCGATTGCATCACTGACAAAACTATGAGACATAGTGCGGTTCAAGTTTTCCTCTTGGATGTCATTTAAATCAAATGAATCATCTTGTGTCTGTGGTTTCGCTTGAGTTGTACATGCTAGCATGGATTCCTCTTGCAAGACACCATCTCTAATTTCATGATCTCTCTCCTGTCCACCGTTAAGCCAATCATGATATGTCTTTATAGGGAATAAGATCTCAACTTCTTGTTCGGTTAATTTCTTCATTCTTGAATACCTTCCACCCCTTCTCCTTCGACGGTTTCTTCCACGATTAATCCTTCTTGCTAAGATTTCGCCTCTTATGTAATTATTATCTCTGACATAATTTATTTGTTCTTGTAACTCAACATTCGTCAAACTATTCTGATCTAGTGGTGCACTCGAAGAATAGAAGAGAGTTCTATGGGGTATTGGATAAACGTGAAGTCCATACTTCGATCTGATGAAATAACGAAACGTGAAGAACACGAATAATACAGCTATCAATACACCTACCGCTAGAGCCAAAAAGAATAATACTGTCGAAGTAGTATTTCCAACAAAAGTTACTCCGTCGGTAACGTCTCCCCCACCACTAGAACTGTCACTTGAAGAAGGAGGAACAACAGTAGACGATAGTGACCTTGAGTATAAACTGATAGTAGGTGACATGCTGTCCTTTATCAATAGCCCAGCTATGAATTGTCTGACAGCTCCAAACATGGAAGACCCAGCTTCTTCGTTATCGAGGGTAAAATTGGGGGCGCCACCTTGAAAACTCTTGTTATCAGACATAGAAAGTTCAACCTCTGGCCCTTGTGTAAAATATAATAATTCGCTTTTATACCTGATACTATAGTATCAATAAGTGGTTATATTAGTTTGTCTGATGATTAACTTTGAATTCTGGAGTAATGATTTACCATGCATCAAAAGTTTTGTCACAACGCTATTTTTAATTCGGTGAACCCAAACTAAATAGATATTTCTTTGATCTAAGAAACCGTTTAATTATCCCTGATTAACTCCAGATATATGCACAAAAAATAGGCTATAATGAAACCGAACCAGTCAATGTAAGGAAAAAGGAATCATACATAGTCACATAAAATGCTCGCTGACCAAATTTTTCGGTGCAAGCCCTGCTTATGTATGAGGCATCGTTATTAAAAATAAATTTACGGGTATACTGGAGTAAGGGAGTTTTACGACCTACCAAAGCCATGGGGCTGTAAGAGTCACCGAAAGGTAACTTTAGGGTATTGATCTTGCTTAAGTTAAGCATATAATAATAAAATAACGCTTACATCCCGTGCGCAATGATAATAATCAAGTAGTATTAAAGCACTAAATAAAAACAATATATATCATTATGTAAGTGTTTTATCAACTTATTTTGGGGCTTCCTTGAAAGAAATAGCGGCTTCTTCACCCATAGCGGAGATAATAGTGACTAATAAATCCTTACCTTCGTCGAATTCGGATTGGATCTTGTCACCTAATTCACCATCTGGGACCTTGACATCATCCTTGGTGTCACCATCGTTAGTCATCAAGGATAAGAAACCATCATCAATGTCTAATAATTGGAATTCACGTCTACCAACATTTGGGACTTCCATATTGTGGGTAGATGGAGATAAATCTTCTAATTTCTTACCAGTGAAGATGTCGATAGCGACCAAGTGAACCTTGGCGTGACCGTGCTTACCGGTCTTAGAGGTAGACATATCAACAATCTTACATGGTCTGCTCTTAATGACAACATGTCCGTTCTTTCTTAAAGCGGAACATTGAATTGGGAAGGTTAAAGCAGCACCAGCGTCAGCGGTCTCAAAAGTGTGCTAATTACTAGTTAGTACTTGTCCTCTAGCTCTGAAGGCCTCCAATATACTCTACGGTACTCTGTGGACTTTCTATTTCCAAATTGATTGAATTCGCTTCAAATTCTTGTCATGAGACCAAAGTCCTCAAGAAAATTTTTTTTTCAAACCATACTTCAATCAATCGCAAATGTTAAAGTATCTACTTACTTCTTCGTCAGCCATAGTATCTAGTTAATCAAGCTCGTTAATTTAATGGAGAGATAATAATAGTTTAACTAACTCAAAAATGAATAAAAAAGAAAATTGACATTTATTTCACTATTGGGTATTCGTTCGTTCCAGCGAACGAGCGATGGACGAGACAATTGTCAGAATTTTTTTTGATTTTGTGGAAACTTTTACCTTCAGTAAATGTGGGACTGCTTAACTATGGCTTAACTATGGCGCAAAGTTGCCCTTGGTTGTGCGTATATTACAGCACTAAGGGGTGAAGTTACCCGCCTTTATTTGCGTAAATTTATCTCCGTGATGATCCATACACCCATATTAAGCGATGAAATAGAGGGTCTACGAGCGTTGTAGTATCATTTTAAGGTGTATAATACATATTAAGCAACTGGTTTATACATATATCAAGTATATACTCGGCCGTGTGTCAGATGGGTGTGAGAAGCAAGGGGAAAGTGTGGGTAGGGTAGAAATATAGCCGGTGCTGCTGTCAAGAGAATTAGGAGCAGCAGACGGACTTCGAGTAGGTTGCGGAGATGGATGTAGTTGTTGTAGATTGTATTGATGAGGACGGTGAAGCGATATGTGATTATGAGCATTATGTGAAGTTACTATCAGCTTATCACAGATACATCGTTGGTGATGGACTCATTAATGTCATCAGAATCTTTGTGCTCATCTTTGAGCTCAGATTGCGTGGTGGTGTCATTTTCAGGGCGATAGTCAGAATTACCATTGGCAGGTTCCTTTTTGATGGAGTCGGTGGTGATATTTTCGAGGGCTGAAACTTCTGATTCGTCTGGCGCCAGACTGCTGAGTCTGGACTCGCTGTTCTTGACATCTGTGAGCGCACTCGTGGTAGACGACGAGTGGTTATGGTTCAAACTCTGATTAGGCTCTTTCAGCTTCTCTACCTTTAAATCTTCGATAATGGAGTTCCATTTCGCCAACAATTCTTCGCACTTCTCGTGCAACTTGAAGCTGTCAGGGTACTCGAGGTCCTTGTCCCTCAATATGCATTTGAGTACTTTATGGATTTTGGTTTTTTTGAGCAATTCTAAATTTACGGGGAACTCGACTAAACGGTGTAATATGAGTCTAGCAACCAGGAGTTCGTTGGCCGTAGGAGGTGGAAACTGTTTGGGGTTTGCAGGGGTAACGGGTTGATTTCTTTGAATTAATGATCGCTGTAATTTGATCCGACAAAGCCATAATTGGTGTTGTTTTTCTTCTTCGGTGAGTTTCGGACTTCCTTCTACTTTAGTCTTATTATGACCGTTCGTGTATTCAGCCTGTGATGACGCCGTCGGTGTGGTATTGGAAGCCTTCAAAGTTTTACGCTTGCCGTTGGTAGATATAGAACGCTTCCTTTTCGATCTACTATTTCTATCTGACAACGCATTCTCATCTTCCTCTAATGAATCTCCCTCTCCTTTTTCTTCTTCGTCGTCGCCGTCTTGTTTTTTTGATTCACTTATTTCATCTGCGTCGTATTCCTCTTCGTCCTCGTAACCTTCGACTTCTTCATCTTCCTCATCTCCCTGAATTCTATCTTTGTCTAATCTCTCCATGAAATCGTCAAAGTCTAATCCTTTCGTCGCCAAAAGTGCATCAGTAACTTGAAGCGTCCTTCCCCCAGCTTTCTTTTTCGGCTTGTTCTTGTTTGGAATTTTTTCCAATTTTTTGTCCAACTTTTCCTCCGACAAGGGTTCAAGGTTCTTGTCACTCATCCAGTAGAAATCTCCATCAGGAATAAAAATGACACAATAGTTTGTGGTTTTCTTCTTTGCCTTCAATATTGCATCCGGTACCATGTCTTCGGGCATCACAAACGATGGCCACGCAGGAAATCCATGCATTTTGGCCAATACCAAATCTTTAGGCTCAAACTGGGTCTTTTTTACCTTCTTTGGTGGCATTTGGGTATTAAATTAGAATTGAATATAATAACAACGGTTGTGACTCTTAACAGCAATTAAATCCTTCCGATGAACTTTTAAGAATATTTGTTCCTGATTCAATCGTAAAATATTACTTCGTGTAACTGAATTGAGTGTCGATATTCCAATTATCCTTGATTCTAGTTTCTTTCTCTATCTATTGAAACACTCTGGTTTGTTTTGTTGACAGTATACGTGTATATCGTATGTAAACAGAAGCAATATGGAATTCAATGACTTTATTCGTGATCTTTCGGGAACAAATTATTTGCACGCAATCTCTATTGATGGATCCCGATATCTTATGGAATAATCACTTACTATGAATAAACTTGCTAACTCTGAACAAAACACTTAGATTACTACAATGCCTAATTTAAACCTATTGGAAGGTATTTTGAGTTTTGCACGACTCGCTTATATTCTTCTATTAACGGGTTGCAGCCTTCGGTACTTGTCATAAATAGGACCAATTGTCTCCTCTAAATGCCCTCATGGCATCCTAAATGCGGTTTCATAGAATCTGGTGTACCATTTCGTGGTATTTTCAGTTTGAAATTCTGTCAACTTCCTATTTATATGCTCAAGTTTCACAATTATCCAAGGTAAAGCATCTATTTGCTCCGTGAATAAATCATACTCTGCTACATTACTCCCCTATGATTGTTGATTATTCCAGGTACAATAAATCTGTAGTAACACATACACAACATCTATCATGATTCCATTGTGTAATTATTTTGAACAATATGTTACTCTTCTTTCGTTGATCACGGTGTAAAGTTGTTGAACATTTAACCCTGATTACAACTCACATTCTTAATATATTCGGCATGTCACCTATTGATTTTACATATGTATATAAGTATATTGTACAAGTATGTCGTCTTCCATTTTGGGTGTAAATAGGTGTAGATCGTAAATTTATTACATAATCTGGAATATTGTGCTTCAAGAAAAAAAGCTGCGACATACTCAAGGAACACTAACAACCTCTAAACAGACTCGTTATAATCCATATTCTTCTAAGTTGATAGAAAGTATATTGGCGTCAGAAGGCCATACGTGTATTTTTATTAACTTAAAACAGAAAAATTAGAGTATTTTTTAATTAAGAATTTATTCTACCTAACGCCAGGAAAACTGTTTAGTACCGATCGTTGAGTTAATTTTTACATCAATTGATAATTTGGTCACTTAAATTGTTGTGGTTAATTTAAATTTAAGCTAATTTAGTATTGATATTGAAATTTGAGGTTGCCGTTACAGATACATTAAGCTAATCTGACTAGGAAATTCAACAAGAAAATTTGATAAGTTTATTCCTGCTACAATATGGACAACCCTAATTTTTCACCTGGCAAAAGGCCGTTTAACGGTGAAATGCATAGTTCGGCGTTAGATCAGCCAGTTGACATTCTTAAGAGAAGAAAACATTCTGACGTGCCAAGGTCTCTTGATGAGATAAATAGAAAGACGGAAATTAGCTTTCAGCAGCCGTTTTCTGCACCCATTCTTCATTCAGTTCCTCCATCCATACTACCAATTATTTATCCACCCTTCCAAACGCAAGATTTTTTCACCGATGTAACTTCTGATATAACGGATCCTAATATTGCCAAACAGATTAAGGGGATCTTGCAAAATTTCCCACCTCCAATTCCACCATATTTGTCTAATGAAATGGCCCCACCACAGGGGGGTATGATGATTCCATTTATTTACCCACCACCTCCAGTTATCAGAAGCGAAGTTCCTAGAGATGGTCAAAAAGCAGATGCGACAGCAATGCATTCTCCTACAACCGACGAAGAGTATGTTGAAATGCCGCCGTTACCATTTCCTCCACCAAATTACATGCCATACCCGTTAATATCAGATCAATCTTCCCTTACTCCTGCTGAGGTATTTGCATCGTTTTTGGAAGCGCTGCAGAAATTACCAAGAATTGATATGGTTTTGGCTAGTGCAGCTGGTTCACTTTTTGATTTAAGAATCCAGGCGAAAGAGGAAGGCTTTACATACGAAAAATATGAGATCTTGAAAAGCAAGAAGTTAGAAGCTTTAAAAAATAAAAGGTTAGGACTTTCGACTAGAGAATCCGAAGAAGAAGAAGAACTTGATTCCGATGATTTTGAAGATTATATGGAATATGCTTCAAATATTGATGTAACGGATGCATTTGATAGTTATGCTAAGCTGAATTTTGCTGATACCTTTGAATCAGATTGTGGCTGTCCTCCAAGTTATTTGAAGATAACCCCAAATGTGAGCGACATTAAAAATCCTTCAGAGAAACACATCAAAACTGAAAAAATGAATGATGAGTATTTCTTAGATCCATCTGCTGAATTTGAGGAAATGCAACCATTAAGCTCTAATAAAGTCTTGTCACATTCTAATAAAGATATTAGTTCTGCAAATGGTATTAATAAAGAAAAAAGAAGGAAAGAATTAGAAACATCGGTATACGAATTGTCAGAATTTGAATCTAAGCATAAGCATGATATATATATTACCAAAAAGAAGAAGTTGTTGGAAAGATTGCAAAATTTAAAAGATTCTAGAATCCAGTTCTTGGGATCAGATGATCAATTAAAAGACGAGCAACTATTGAATTACAAGAAACTTTTGGAAGAACGTAGGGACGAAGAATTGGTGAGATTGAAAATTAATTTCAATTACCAGTATTTAAAGAATTTATTAATATTTTATCAAGAGTCAAACAAGGTCTACAAGAACGTAAATGCATTAGTGTTGAATAAATTGAAGAAATTGAAGAATTTCTTTGAATTCCAAAAGAATCTATTTGAGGATGCTATAAAAAACGGGGACTCGAAGGATGGCATATTTGATGTCAAGAGTAAAGAATCTAGTAAGTTGTTTAATGGAATATCTGAGAAGGATTTTCACGCTGGAGTTAAACAGATTATGAATTCTACAAGAAGAGAAACTGATAAATCCAAGCATTCTGGAAGTACTGCTCCAGTTGTTCATGACTTTATGCCTTTGATATCTGCTGATGAATTCAATATAATTACCGGAGACTTCCCAAATAAGAGTAAACAATCGAAGGATTCTTCAAAGTCTGCAACATCAAAAGCATTCGACAGTATTAAGCATCATATATTCCAAAGCTCCTTGTACGACCCAATCACTTCTGGTTCAGATACTAATAATGCATCGGAGAGTACAACAGGCACGCCATCAAAAAGAAGAGGAAGAAGAGGTGGTAATACACCCGGCGATAAGTTAATTGATGATAGTGACAAATCAAGTTCAAAATACACAGAATCCTTGCTATTGGCTAAAATAATGAAGCATTTTATAGGGCCTCAAGGTGCAAATCCAGATGAACTAACTGACGATTTAGAAATAATGGGTGTGAAAACAAGGTGGCCTGTTCAATATACCAAATAGCCATCAACATTATATTCTACATCTTGAGGATCATATTTGGGAGCATATAGTTAAACTATATATATAGTATTAATAGTGTTACAATAAGTATCAAATCAAGTTAAGAAACAATATACATCATCAAAGATATTTTTGATCGTTTCAAAAATAAAACAAATAGAAAAGAAGAGTAAATAGAATGCTTTCTTTAATAAAGAAAACAATTCGCTAATAAACATAGAATTAACAACGAAGTGAAAAATTAACAAAAATGAATTTGTCACTCGTTTAATATTCTTCGAATTGAGAGTAGATAGCAGTCAAGACGTTAGCAAACCCAAGAACTAATGGGAAGCTTCCTAAGACATCGGCAAACTGATTATAAACTCCCAACTGGATCAAGAAATGTTTCTTCAAGGCACTGAAAATACCACCAAAAGAATCAAGAGTGGTCAAACTACCAGCATTCTTGACAATGAAGTAGAAAACAAGCACCTTTGATAAAGCAAAAACAAATGGATCATACTTATAAGCTCTGGTAATAAGACCAGAGTCGTCTTCATCAATAATAATACATCTTCTAGTGAAGTTAACGTAATAGGAAACAATTAATGGCAAAACAATCGAAGTCACGATCCAGTTGGCAAAAATTGAGATAACCTTGAATTCAAAGAGTACACTGATATCTGGCAATAATAAATCGGATGAAGACAAGTAACTAATGTTATCTTTGAAAACTTGGTGCACCGAGTTGTTGTGCTTAACAGCAACAAGTGGAATGTAGGTAGACAAGAAGTAGACAAGTTCGATTACGAGCTCGATGTAGTTCAATGAAACAGATCTAGACAAGTTTTCTCTTAAATCGTCATTGTAATCTAACGTGGTGGCCCCAATTCTGTCGGTGAATTGCAAAACCTTTGAGTAACCCTCCTCGAAAAACTCAATTGCTGGATCAATAATCCACTCCTTCAAGTTAACTGGTGGCCCTGCTTCATAATCCTTATCTTCATCTTCAGTCTCCTCTTCGTCCTCTTCAACTTCGTCTGTTTCTTCGTCTTCGCTGCCATCTTGTGCTTCAGCCAACGTTTCCTCGTCGCTCTCTATGTCCAAGCTATTTTGCACCGCAATCAATCCTTCTTCAGGGTTGGATTCGATGTAAGCCGAAAGCTTCTCAAACAATTTTTGTTTGGTATCTTTAGCAAGAACGTGAATCCCTACTTTGCGGCAAATACTGCTTAATTCTGCCTTCTTAAGACTTTGTAATTCTGACATTTCTAGTCTGGTACTAATGGTTTTTATCTTTCCTTATTGCAAAAAAAATAGAAGAACTATGTTTGTTTGTTTATAAAATTCGATGAATAACAGCAACTGATCAATTACCCGAACTTTATACCTGATAGTTTTATTTTATTCTGGCTTCGGTAAGAATTGAACTTGTGTTTACATTTGTCCATCCTTTGTACTATAGCTATTATGGACTTATTAAAGACCCTTGTTATGTACAGGTTATTATTATATTTCCTATTTTGGACATCCTGTGTATAATCTCTTCATGTACCGTAGAAGAATTTTAACTGTTTCTGATAGTAGTAATAACAAGAAATCCATCAAGCAGGTTTATCAGTTAGTAAGAGAAATAATAAACAATTACATTTTAATAACATTGCTCCAGAATTGAGATTCAGGGAATTTAAATTTTATCATTTAATTAAGTATTTTTTAAATTAAATTTGATAAAACAACCTCTTGTCTTGAGGATTCTACTATTTGAATGATATAATAGAAGGTATAATAAAGACGAAAAGAAAATCAGTGGCATGATTTTATATAAACACGAATTTTCATACAATAAACATTTTGTACGAATATGGGGTCGATCTCTACGAAGTCTGGCAAAAATTGGAAATCAGTTCAAAGAAGCGCCCAGGATAAATCAGGTAGGCGTTCAGTATTTGAGTGAAGAGTTGCATACAAAATTATTTCCAAAGACTAAGAGTACCGATTATTTGAAACCTAAGAACCCGGCTCTTTTGGAGCTAGCAAAGGAACACTTAAGATATAATGAATTACTAGGTAAGAAGACAGAGATCGTGGAGCCCATAAATATAGACAATTTCCCCGATTTGGAAGGAAAGAGCACCCTAGATGAACACTTTTATAGAATAGGGACAGAAGCCTCGGAACCATACCTATCAATGGCAGAGAAGTTCTTATCTCCAGGTATACAATTACCCACGAAACCAAAACCTTCGGAGTGGTTGTTCAAGAGTGGATGGGTACGATACGCTGAGGGCGAAGCCCCTAAGGAAGTGCCACATCCATTGGAAGATGAATTAGTGTTCGATGTTGAAGTCATATACAAGAGGTCACCATATGCAACATTGAGTACATGTGTCTCTTCCGAGGCATGGTATGGATGGGTATCTCCCTACCTTACGAACTATGCTGAGAATAAGAAATATGACGACTGGGAACACCTAATGCCTTTAGACTGCTTGAATAATCCAAAATTAATAATTGGATACAATGTCAGTTACGATAGAGCACGAGTGTTAGATGAATATAATATCAAGCAGTCAAAGGGTTTTTTCTTGGATGGTATGGCCCTACATGTCGCCATAAGTGGAATATGTTCTCAACAAAGGCCAACTTGGCAAAAGCATAAGAAAAGCAAATCTCAACTTGATTCAACTAAAAATGAGTCCCCTGTGATAGATTCCGATACAGATTATTTCGATAAAAAGCTATCGGCTGTAGAAATAGCAAATGAACTTTTAGATGACCCATGGTTGAATAAAGGTTCTCCAAATTCTTTAGCAAACGTGGCAGATTTTCATTGCAATATAAAATTAGATAAAACTGACAGAGACTTTTTCGGTACCGAAGATCCTCAAGATGTTATCAACAACTTCAATAATTTAATGGATTATTGTGCAAGGGATGTTGAGGCAACTTATTCGGTAACTGCTAAGCTTTTTTCACAATTTAGACAAAAGGTGCCACACCCTGTATCATTTGCAGCACTTAGGCACCTTGGAACTTTAATGTTACCCACAACGAAGAACTGGGATAACTACATTGAAACAGCTGAAAAAGTATATCAGAAAAACCGTGATGAAGTCACTACTATATTGAAAGAAAGAGCTAATGCGTTCGTTATTTACATAGATCAAAATGATGAGTCATTGAAACCTGATTGGGAATCTGATCCATGGTTATCGCAATTGAATTGGACTATCAAGGAGCAGCGGTTGAAAAAGAATGGTGAGCCTGCAGCAAATCAAGCTTTTTTAACTGGCTATCCTGAATGGTACAGGGATTTGTTTAAAACTGCCACAGTTAACGGAGTCAAACACCGGGAAATGAATATATCTACTCGTACTCGAATAACTCCTTTACTCTTAAAATTAAAGTGGGAAGGATACCCGTTGCTTTGGACTGATTCGTCAGGTTGGTGTTTTAAAGTTCCGTTTAATGACGAAACTATTAAATCTATGGAAGATAAAAGTTACACAAGAGCCAAGCTAAATGATGAAGATTTGGAAAAATTCCTTCCTCAATTGAGGGATAATGGTAACAGCTACGAATTATTTAAAGTACCTCATCCAGAAGGCCCTGGTAAGAGATGTACATCTATCTTATCTAAAAGTTACTTGAGATACTTTGAAAGCGGCATCTTGACATCCGAATATTCGTTTGCACAGGAAATATTGAGTTTAAATTCGACCGCATCTTACTGGATGGGTAATAGACAACGTATTATGGATCAGTTTGTCATTTATTCCGATATGAGCCATAAGAAAAATAAGTTCTTTGACACTAAGGTTGATTCTAAAAAGCATAAGGACATGGGTATTATCTTGCCTAAACTTTGTTCCATGGGTACAATTACTAGAAGAGCAACTGAGAATACATGGTTAACAGCTTCAAACAGTAAAAAAAATAGAATTGGCTCAGAATTAAAGGCTATGATTCAAGCGCCAGAAGGCTACTCCTTTGTTGGAGCTGATGTAGATTCTGAGGAATTATGGATTGCATCCTTGGTTGGTGATTCAATGTTTGAAATGCACGGAAGTACTGCTTTGGGATGGATGACTTTAGAAGGTGATAAATGTGAGAAAACCGACTTGCACTCCAAAACTGCTGAAATCTTGGGAATTCTGAGAAATGATGCCAAAGTCTTTAATTATGGTAGAATTTATGGAGCCGGTGTTAAATTTGCCACTAGGCTTTTGAAACAATGTAATGCTTCTTTAAGTGACGAACAAGCGGAAATGATGGCCAAAACATTATACGCTAAAACAAAAGGTCAAACAAATACATCCAAATTCTTAGATAGAAGAATGTATCATGGAGGAACCGAATCGATTATGTTCAATGTATTAGAATCTATTGCATATCAGGAAGATCCTAAAACTCCTGTATTAGGTGCAGCGATCACAGATGCTCTTACAATTGCAAATTTAAATAAAAATAATTATTTGACTTCTAGAATCAACTGGGTAATCCAAAGTTCAGGTGTGGATTACTTACATCTATTGATCGTATCGATGGAATTTTTATTAAAGAAATTCCGAATAGATGGAAGGTTGATTATAACTGTTCATGATGAATTAAGATACATGGTAAAAAGTGAAGATAGGTATAAGACTGCTCTTCTTTTACAAATTAGTAATTTATGGACAAGAGCAATGTTCTGTGAACAATTAGGTATCAAGGAAGTACCACAGTCTTGTGCATTCTTTTCAGAAGTTGATATTGATACTATCTTGAGAAAAGAAGTCACTCTAGATTGTGTAACACCATCGCATCCAAATTCAATCCCCCCTGGTGAATCGTTAGATATTCACAAGATCTTGGAGAAATGTGAAAGTGAAAAGTTTATGATTGGGTGCCCTCGTAAAAGAGCTAGCAAACAGTCAAAAATTGACTATTCGAGCAGAGAGCGAGTGATATCAAACTTAGATAAAGAATTGAACAGTGATATGAAGGTTGCGAAAATCAAATTACAAAATTCGATTGATAAAGCAACTTGGAGGCAGAACATTAATAATTATATCAATGTCAAGAAGAATATTGAATTTGACAAGTTTAATAGCGAATTTGATAGAAGAAATATAATGTTCGAAAAATCATCTACTTTATACAATTCAGAAGCCACTACTAAGCCGTTGAAGCCAAAGTCGGTGAAACGAAAAATAGTGGAAGAATATGAGATTGGAAGTGATGGTGATGAATTGTTAGCTAGGGAAATTGCTAAGTCTTATAGCGAAGGAAATCTTAAGCCAGCAAAGACAAGTAAATATAAATATAATCCGGCTATTAAAAAGCTGACTTCTAGTGTCAAAAAGGAACACAAGAACTTCTCTAAGCAACCTGCTGAAAGATCATCTCAAGATAATAGCCTAGTAAGGCCTAGGTCGGTTTCTAATAACAAAATCCAGACGAAATTTTATAAAGCACAGTACTCCACTGCCAATACATATGGGCAAAAACCTGATAGTGTCAAATCCTACCCGAAAAACTCACCTACAGAAAAACTAAATAATAGCCCAAGTCGACTATCAAAGCTTTTCTTCGAAAGCGGATCAAATTCTCAAACTCAATCTACAAAAGCGAAACTTAGTGTCCGACCGACAAAGCAAGTGTCTTACACGCTGAGAAGTGGAAGCTTCCGTACACCAATTCAACAACTGAAAGACCCTCCTAAGAATTTTGCTTCCTCAGTTCTAGCAAACAGCAATGCTAAGCGAAAAAAATCCGCTGAACCTTATACCCAGAGACATTTATTTTATCGTGCTAGCACTTTCACCCCCGGAAATGGCATTCTGAAGCACTAACCCTAAATGCCTTCCATAGTTGTCATCTACTCGGAGATCACTCTCCCAAACTACATTCATGTATCCCAGTCTCAAGTCCAAATTATAATTGACTGAGAATGATAATGGCCACATCTGACGTCATAGACTACTCACCCAATTCTCCACACTACCCCGAAACCAAGGTAATCCTTACTAACCACTTATTGTCAGATGTGCCATATATATCAATTCGAGTCATTAACCGTATTGGATCGCGGGCTACTGTACCATATAGCTACTGGCTACCATACATATATAACGACGTAACGATATTCAATAAATGCAATATAGTTGTACTCAAAGTTGGCTGTATGCACGCCGTCGTCTTATCCGACATTTCCCTAATGTAGTTTGATACGCACATCTACACATATATGTTAGTTACACATCGGTGCTTCGAACTACCGGTGTTCTCAATCCCGACGCTTCCAGCGACAGTAGCCAGCGGCTGAACTCACACAATACTTTGACATGTATGGTCAATTACTTCCCCAACCGTTTTACTGCATACCCGGGCAAGCTTGTGTGTTTCTTTTCCTAATAAGTATATGACGGCTGGCTTTAGTACCGATTGTCGTTTTGTTTACAACTCGTCCCGAACTTTACCCGCATTCACCCACCTGGTACAATTTATCCGATATGTCAATTTCGTCGTTTCCACAGTTTCCAAAACCTTAATTAAGAACTGTCTGGTTATGCTATTACAATAATAACTAATTGTAGTTATCTCTTTACCAACCGTTTATATCTTTATGATAAGCGTTTAGAGAAAGCCCCGAACCAATAGGAATAGAGGGCGGACCGACTAGGTTTCGTAAATATCGCAATATGCGTATGTATGATACCGATTGCCGCCTATAATTGGATATCGCGCGGTAAATACCAGTCTTGACTCCCTCCGGTTAGTCCGAAACGTAAATAAAATTAATTCCCTAACCAAGCGGCTTTGTGATCGGTTCGTGATTTTCGGTCAAAATTTTCATTCTCGAACCCATATAACTGACCCTTGTTCCCAGTTGAAAAAATTTGTTTTTTTTGTTTGAGTTTTCTTTTACTGAAGGTTGTTATTTTAAACTTAGAAGAACACTTTTAATAATAATTCAATAATTGGAAGAAATGTTGCCACCAGGTGTTATTTTAGTTTTCGTCTTAATCTTTTTAGCCTTCGTTGCTGTTGTTTCTGTCTTCGCTGGTAAGAAGATTAAGGCCAGAAAGTCTAACCAAAGATTCTAAATTGATGGTTAAAATACTGGCAAATTGACTTGTTGGATATAGGAACCATTGGCGCTGCTAGAACTAATATAATAATAATACTAATAAATAATGAAGATGCTGGCTATATTAATACACTGAACATTTGTGATGGAAATTATGCTTAAGTGAAAAATTATTATCTAATTTCAATTAGAATTGCTCTATTGTGTTAGTGTTGCCCATTTGTGTTTTGGTCCTATATTTGACGGTCGTTTTGCGTTGCTATAATACGAAACTGTATTTTTTTTATTCTACAACAAATATTATTATCTATTGACGATTTTTATTGCTGCTTTTTATCATTTACTACATAACACTGTGTTTGACGGGAATCGGACACAGGGTTATTTTATTGTATTATCGGGAATCATTTTTTTTTTTTGAAATTTTGGGAATAATTAATGTCAATATAGCTACAAATACCTATTATATTGTTTTAATAATATATTTTAAAATCCTAATCCTACTTGTAGATGCATATATTGAGATGAACTATAATAAAACGAGCTGCTGCTATATCTATGAACTAATAATGAAGCCATGGGGTACCTCCGGAATTAATTAATTTTCATTGGCCTTTTGTTCTGCTCTTCCTATTTTGATTACGTCATCCATACATATTTCTATTGCCTAATCCAGAGTGGCTGCTTATACCTCGTCGTTGGCTTCTTCTGGTTCGGAGGGCTTGATATCCTCATCATATTCATCTATGTAGAACGACTGTACCAATGCTCCGACAGACATTAAAGATAAAAATATCCAAGTTAATTGACCCAAAGCCACACTGTCAAAAAATGACATCAATGCACCCCAGATTAGCGGAGCAAGACACCGGGCAAGTGCTGTTAAACTCAATGTGGATCCATTGATGAACCCTCTATACTTTGGTGGAGATGCTCTATGTATCAACACGATAACTTGTGGAGTAGATGTAGATGAGGCTAGGGTACGAATTCCAGAATTAAGGTACAAAAGGGTTTTCGTCAACTGTGGAGATGCATTTGGATTGTAACCCGGTAAAGTGTAGATCAAAAATGGCAAAACAAAGTACATGATTGGGAATATGCTATTTGACAATCTGTAACCAGTGATGGTCCTTAAATTCCTGTCCATAAGAGGAAACACAAGCATAATTATGAAAACGCCGAGAAGTCCTGTGACAGATAATAACGTACCAATTGTATTTGAGTCGTAGCCGAATCCCCCTTTCATTCTAGTTGGAAATTTCAATTCCTCAGGCATAAATTTTGAAGCTAATAACACAGGCAAAAATTCCAGATAAACTAAATTGTGGAACGATAAAAGGAAATTTCCTAACATAGTCTGGACAACGGGACCAGTAAACACTTTTCTGCTAAAAGAACTTTTATTTATAGTAGAAACGTCACTGATAGAATATCTATTAGTACTAATTCTCGATAATGAGGGTCTAATAGATATATTAGATGAATATCTCCTTAATATAGCATTGGATGATCTTCTGGTTAATGGACCTAAATTATCATCCGAACAAATTGAGCTTGTCTCGTCTTCTTCATCAATAACTGAGGAATAAATAGGGCGTGGTTGAATGAGCGAAGTGCTTTCATCGAAGGAGTCCAAATCATCTTCCTGTTGATCTTCACGTATATTTTCATTCGAGTCATTAACGTTCGGAACCACATTATCTTGTTCACGTATTGGGTCCCTGTTTGGTTTCGGGACCTGTGGTTTTGTAGGCTTTCTCTTCGAAGAAATATTCCATTTACGAGTAGGAACATCAAAACCCAATCTTCTTCTTATCCAATCACCAATTTCAAGACCAACATCCTTTCTTTTGTAGTGTTGATGGTGTGTCTCTTCTAAAAACAAGAATCCCATTAACATACTAAACCATAAAAATAACGCCACTACTATATTTGACAATGCATAGGGGTATTTATTCAAAAATCTATCATAGGCACCATCATTTATCATTATTACTGACTCTGTTTGTGGTCTAGTTAAATATTTAGACCCTCCGATCAAAGGGCCAATAACACTTCCCACATTCCAGAATAGCGGTAAGATTGAAAATGCAGTACCTTGGTGCCTTCTTTCTGTAACGATTTCTCCGATCATTGTCCTGAGTACTGCAATGTTTCCATTCAATGCACCCATGGCAGACCGAGCTAATAATGCCATGTAGAAATTGGTGGAGAATCCAAATGTTAGCATGGAAAGCGACGTTCCAAACAATCCAAGAAGTAAAATTGGTTTTCTACCAACTTTGTCGGACGCCTTCCCCCAGTGTATACAACATAAGAACTGAGTAAATGCAAAGGAAGCTGAAAGATATCCAGAATACTTTGAAATATTTGCTTCATCAACGAAATGAAAATCTCGTATCATAAAATAGACATATGGAAAAAGCGATGTAAATGCAATCGGTTCCAGAAATCTAATCAAGCTGACAACTATCATTTGCCAAGTGGGAAACCCCTTCATCTGTTCTTTAAATGAAAGCTTAGATTCTGTCATTTTTGTATTTGCTTAACTAAGTCTAAACGATAATATATTATTACAAATTCATAAGGTTACCTTGCATGCGATTATCTGCACACAAAGTAATTGGTGTATTTATTTTACAAAATGACATAATTCAAGATCCTGGATTCAAAAAGGGGAATATAACTAGATTGGTCGGACTAACTTGTAGTACTGAATTTTGGTGATTTAGTAACGAAATTAAAATTAAAATTTGATTTCTTAGACCGTTGATAAATATTTTGCAGATGTGTCAAAATTTACCGTTCCGAGAGATAAGAAAGCTCTTATAAGAGTAATTACTTCGAAGTTAGAAATCATTGGGTGATAGAGACATGTATGGTATTTAATGAAGAATTGCACGCATGTATTAATTATTATTCATAGAGTTCGAATTATGGTGGCTAACAAATGTTGGTTTATTATTTCCTCTAAATTTTCTAAATTCCTGTTCTCGTAAGACCAATAGGATACTGGTCATTATTAACATATTATTATTATTTTCATTATCATTAGTCGTCTCAAAGATTTTAATCGTTCCGTTTTTGAATAAATTAAGTCCCTTGAATTTTTCATCTCCGTTGTCGACAAAAGTGGCCAAAGGTGTGTTGATTAATGCCTTTCCTTCATTCATCAATCTGGTCAAAGTAGCTTTTCTCTGATGACATTTCAACGAGCTGTATAATTCGTTCGAATCGCTTACATTCACCTTAACGTTCTTAATCGAACTGTTGATGGACTCAAGGGTATTCTGTATCGTCATATCGTCGCATAACGAAGGTGACGAGTTCTGTAGTATATAGAGTTGCATGAAGCCATTTGCAAATGTCGACGTCGTTCCCGTGACTCCTGTAATTCTGATCTTTGTATTTTCATACACCACGTCGACTGAAGGCTTGACACCATTATTCATCAAAACCACGGTCTTCAATTCACCATTGTCGAGCTGGAATATTAATATATAACAAGTGACGTTATTAGTTAAAATCCTGAAATATACTTTACAGAAAACTGACTTTTCGTTCGCCTTGTTATATTTATAAATAATCAAGAATGGCGAATTTATTTTGAAAATACTGAGCATCGACGTTGAAGTTTGTAACAACGGTATTCCTAACCCTTGCGAGTGGTACAGCTTTGTCTCTTCGGGAGACAAGTTCTTCTGTGAGTATATATCCAAAGACTTCAATGATGAGAATATAAGCACCCCCGGTTGTAGGAACGTCGAAACAATTGGTAATTCTCGTACGGTGGTATAGGAGGTAATAGGATATCCCAAAATCTTTAGATTATTAGTCACAGTTTCTTCAGAGCCCGAAGTAAATAGCGAACTCAAATCGGATATTTCTCCAGACCTACTGTAGAGGTCGTAGCTGTTAGCACGATCTTCATACTGCCTTGGATTCTGATTCTGCCCCACTGTGTTGCTTTGGTTCTGTGTGACTAAGGTCTCGTCACTATTTGTCCGACTTAGCGTAGAACGGTCCCCGTGTAAATATTCAATTCTTGGGTGTCGTTCTGGCATTATAAACGCTCTTGTCGGTATAGAAATGGTATTTTTCAACTGATTGCTACGCTATCTTCTTACAGTTTAAGTCCAAATTTAATTTTTCACTCATCTCACGTAATGATTCAGATCAATACCCGCAATCACCCCACGATCATTTCTTTTCTTGACTTTTCCGTAAGCTGCCTCATCTACTAAAATCAGCGTCTCCATATATTCAAGTATATATATAGATACATATGAGCCCTAAGTGGACGCTTCAATGCTATTGCTTCGGTAGTGCGTTGTAGTGCATGTGAATACTGCTCTAAACCATTCTATGATCCTCCGTGTAATTTAAGATGATCTGGGTATACTCTTCCTGTAGGGTTTAAGATTGTAGTGCCTGTTGTATCTGGTGTCGGGTATCCAACCTCGCTCCTTATATCGCTTAATACCAGTCCGCTTATTCTCTATCATGCAATATGTGCACGCGAAATGGGGTATCTTTTGTCCATTTTTCATGATTTTCGCAATTATGCACCGAAATAGTTTTATTTTGTAATACCCCAGCCCCAACGATCCGCCACTTCAAGATAAGCATAGTTTCGACAGCTCACCCTCCCCTAATTTTCTACATTATTCGCATAATCATACTATATGGTTGTCATAAACCGGTGTCCCTGAAACTCATCACTCAAGCTATTAGCTTTTACGGGTTTACAATATGGAAACCTAGAATCACAGTAGAGTCTATCAGCCTTGGATCCATACACTGGATCCATACCACTCTCCGTATATAGTTAATTCTATGAAATAAACTTAATCCCCTCGATCATATTAGATCATATCTAATCTCTACGCCATCATTATGTCCTCCTAGACTCGCCATGCGGTCCAAATGTCAGTGCCATCTCTCACATACTCCGCAATCACTTCCCCAAAAGTATATCAAACTGTATATCTGTAACAAATGCGCAGACTCCGGAGAACTACTGTGTACAATGCACAGATGCATGACTGGTAGTTTTTATTTCATAAAAGTCCTGGTTGGGGATAAGTTGGAGAACATACAAAGATCTATGTTCCTATTATGTAAGACGGTAATATCATCGACTCGTATAATGCGGACATAAAGCCGGGTAATAGAGTTAAAAATCGCGGGGATCATTACGATAAAAAGATGCAAAATTCCATTCTTTCTTTCTTGACATTTACAATGGGAATTTTGTTAGTAGGAACAAATGGCGGCAGAAAAGAAGTATATTTGCTCATTTTGCGCCAGAGCATTTTCTAGATCGGAACACAAACAACGACATGAAAGATCACATACTAATGAGAAACCTTTTCATTGCGTACATTGCACGTCAGCGTTTGTAAGGCGAGATTTATTGCAGAGGCACTGCAAAACGGTCCACAATATTGCTATTTCGAAAGAACGGAGGCATTCAACAGGATCTGCTATCAAAAGCATTGGGATGAATGGAGTAGTAGGAAACACAGGTGTTGGAGTAGGGGTGATAGGAGGAGTTGGAGGTGGAGCAAATGGTGGGGGAGTGGGGAGCTCTAGCAGTAGCAGCAGTAGTGATATTAAAGTTGGCGTAGGAATGGGAGGAGGCCCAGCCAATGGGGCATATGCTTGTGGGATGAACTCGGCGGTAGCAATAGGGGCAAGACCCCATGCTATCACCAACCATGGACTTCTCTTGTCGATAGCACACAAAGTGGGAGCAATATTGAAGAGTGAAGCAGAGTCGGAGATATTTGTCGTAGGGTATACAATGTTGGCACAGGATGATGCGCCAATAATCCCTGAGGTGTTGCAGAACTTGAGTAAGTTTTTGCAGTTCCATGAAATTGACCGCATTCCTGACTTCAAACTCTGCTTGATCTATTCGATATTATCGATTGGGCATATGACCGTCGGGAACACGGCCCACTGCATTGCAAACTTCCAACATTCGTGGTCGTTGTTGGTGCAAAAGCTCATTCCTGATTACAACAACAACAACACCAACCCCAACGACCAGATCGAGATCTTAAATTCGTTATATATCCTTTCCTACATGCACTTGAAATATAACTTAAACCAATACAAATCGATGGATGTTACGTGTGATTTGAACTTCAACTACTTGGATGATATTAGTTACATCATCATGTCCAACTTGTCGCTAAACTCGAATATTATCAATAAGAACATGAACTTATTCTGGTGTATCTACAACTTGTTATCACTTTATCAAATTAACGATGGTCCTCCCAAGTTCTATCAACTATTCCTTCTGAGACCAATTCTGAATTTGAGCTTGATTGACTTTATGAACAATATTTCGCAGGCCGATACTTCTTCAAAGTTCATTCAGGAAGTTATGATTTCCACTGTATCTAATGAATTGAACTATTTTAAGCGTACAAACAAATTACTCATTTTCAAGCTGACCAGAGCATTACACAACTCGATCATCCTAATTCACAAGATTATTCCTGAAACATCAAACATTGAGATCTATAAAATATTTAAGAAAAACCTTATCATAAAGAGCCCTTCCAAGTTCCACGATATATTAAGGTCGTATATTTTCAACCCAGTGGAATCTATCCACTTCAACCTTTTATCGGTCCTTTTGAAAGAGTTCAATCTCAGTTCTGTGCAGTCGTTTAATTTTAAAGCGTTTATCAATAGTAACTTGAATAATTCGTTGCAAACCTTTTCGAGTGCCATGCTTCCATTTTTTGAAATCGAGAACAGAGAGATTAACAATAACTTAGGAATCGTAAGCTTCCCGTTGATCTTTAATTTACGATTTGTCAACTTTCAATCAGTCGACATTTTGAAACTAGACAACTTAAATTTTGAAGATAAGATGAATTTAAATTATTTAATTATAGAATGGTATGTTACTTTGGTTAAATTGTTGATCAATTTATGGAAGAACAACCATTTGATAGATAATTGTATCTTACAGTGCTTATTATACTTGATCAACGACAATAGCTCGGACTTTCAATTCAATACAGAGTTTTTCTGGTGCGTGTTCAGGAAGCTCAACTATTACTTTGAAACTTGGTTATCGTTTATAAAAAACCAGTATTTCCTTGTGAATTTCAAGAACAACTTGCATAAGTTTGTATTGAACTACATACAATCTTCGCTTAATTTGCTGTCAAGTAGCGTATATGAGTCCCGCTCGGTGACACGGCCGAATGATTTCATGTTACCCCCTATTATGCCTCATATTAACCCTCCGAGAACGTCTTTATAGGAAATCGCGAATATATTATTTATTTTGTATTGCATTGTATTACAGAATATTCAATCATCAAAAGTTATATGTATTGTCTTCACCTGTGATTATATAACTATATAACTACACAATGTTATTTTCCTTCCTTATATTTCGTAGAATTATTGGTTGCTGACAGACCTGACCCATATGTCACTGTCACTATTGTCCCTCCATAATCTACTAATTGTGATACCTAAACTGTATTTCTTCTTATCTAACTCATCTTGCTTCATCTTTAACTTCTCAATAGCCTTTGTTATCTTGGTTCTCGTTGCGTAATCAATCTCAACGTTATAAGGAGGCAATAACTTCACCAAAAAATCTATTTCTTTATCGATTTTGCTTATGCGAGTGACGTATTGATCATATTTTAACTGTGTTGCCTTGATATGCTCATATGCCTTATGTGACTCCACTAATTGCTTCTTGCCTTGACTGAATTGTCTTTCGTTAGTCTTGTTACTGATTTTTATCGGCTCGTGCGACACTTTACGGACCGTGAATTTGATTGGCTTTTTATTTGAGTTCTTCGGAAGAGGCAACGTATGTATTTGTTCCTTGGGAACTTCATTTTCTTTCTCTTGGTTATTTAATTTGTCCACAGACAAGCTTTTTATCAACTTTCCAGTAGAGCTATCGCTATTTATTGACGATAAAGATGATTCCGATGGGGATGCTTTCATTTGGTTATTAATGACCTCATTAACAACAATCTCACTATTATTAGCTTCACTAGCTTCAAATGCTTTTGGCAAACTATTATACTCCTCTGGAGTAGTCATAGAACTTTCAGGAACAGTCATATCATCAGTATTCATTCTATTTAACAAGAAGAAATATGTTGTTGGTGTGCTTGTTTATCATCAACGCGTTGGCTTAAAAAGGTAAAAAAGAGTTTTTTTATATACACACCATTATGGGTCATTAGAAATTCAAATTTAGTATGGTAAGAACAACCCATTTAGTGAAGGCAATATGACATCTCAATGGTACTATGTACCCGTCTGTATTAGATTTATATCAGAAGGAGATATACATGCACTATCAGGTGTTAATTTAGTTCTTAAAAATGAGGATGGACAGATATTATTCGAGTCAACCATCTCACTCAGCCATATTCCCCCACATAATTTGAAAGACTACCAGCTATATGTAACATCAAGCTCCCTTAGTGAAGGAGACGACGTGAATTGGCACCCATGTATACCTAGCTTTGATATCCCAATGATGGAGAGACGAGACGATAATTTATATAAATATTTGAATTTTTTCAAGGAAAATGGATTCAAGATAATTCCCAATGATACTATTTCTAGGAACACGCTTATGAGTCTTAATATCCTAGGAATTGAACCCAAATCGGGCTCCTTGAGTAAAATAATAGGTTCCGACTTATATGAAGTAATTGACTTTGCAAATGCTGAGGCTCCTGACTCAATTACCATCCGTTCGTATCCGTTCAGTTTCACTAATCCATTGCTATTTAGTGACTTCAAGTCGACAGGAGGAGTGAATCTCACGATAACGAAGGAGGATGAAATATTAGGCTATTTGTCTGATATTAAATATTTGGAAAATATGGCAGGAGGTATCGTAACTATATCTGAGACGACAGGTTCGATAGGATTGGTGTTGGGAAACTTACGCAAATATAATGGCGACGGAGACCTAGTATTTATACTATCGTGGGAGATGATTTGGAAGTTGATTGCGAAGCGAATCCCTAATTTAAATGCCAGACCTTCAATGAAACTGTCTAGCAGAATGAACAGAGTTCGCTCAATTTTACCAGTAGTTGTTACCGAAGATAGCAGTCTGTTCTGGGGATCATGCATATATTACAATGAAAGCACTTTAGTAACGAATAACCATGTAATCAAGCAGTATATTGATAGACCCATGCTGGTTGATTGCAAAATATTTTTGAGTAAGGAACAAACAATTAACCTTACAAATAAAGACGAGCTTTTTACACCCTATGACCAGTTAGATTTGTCATTTATCAAGCTTTCACACGAAAACCAAGAAAAGCTCAAGAAAATTGACAGTTTAACCCCTATTGAATGTGATTACTTTTATCTGACCGGAGAGCCTGTTACTACTATCGGCTTTGGACTATACTTCAATAATCTCTACGTGGAACCATTACAATCCAATGGTAATATATCCGCTAAATATTCTCTTCCTTTATATAATGGTAATACTTCTACGTTGCCATGCATTATTGTCACGTCGGCATCGTGCTGGAACGGATCTTCAGGCGGTGGGTTATTTAAACAGTCTACAAATCAATTGGTTGGTTTGATTTGCTCCAATGCACAGGTTGTTATTCCTGATTTTGGTGACAATAAAAAAGAAAACACAACTGAAAAATTATCGAAAATAGTGTTATGTATCCCAATTGAAGTCATAAACGACTGCTATAAGAATTTACATAATACAGAGAAGTTGGAGTTAAATGATAGAATAGGTCATACTTGGAATTTGATACCGTACCATAACGACATCATTGTCAGCAAACCGAAGTTGTAACTGTAATACATCGGTAGATTCTTAAAATAAATATACGTTAAACTATATCACAAAATAAATATATGTACAAAATTGGTATAATACAGCAATTTAGTATACAAACATAAGCAAAATAATCAGCCTTGATTTGTAGCCGCATTGACAACTGCCATGGCACTTGCGTTATTTGCCTTTTGTTCCACTGCTTGTGCTAGGGAATTAACCACATTAGCCTCATTGACTGAGGGTATGGAGGAACTGGCATCGTTGTTTTCGTTACTGGCGGATCCAGTACCGTTTGCGTCAAACCGGCTCACTTCTAGTAATGATGAATACAAACCCGTTAATTCTAATAGTTCTGTTACCGAATCAGATCTTAAATCATAAATAAGCTGTTGGAAGGAATGTGATTTAATTACATTTATAGATAATTTGTTCTCAGTTAAGAATTTCATTAAGTGCTTATGAAACTTCATGGATGAATATGGCGAATTATCAAAATCTGCCGACAAAAATCTTCGGTTAGAATTCATACCAAAGGAAGATAGCGATGAGTCGATGTTGTTTATGTTATTGCGAGGTTTATACTTATTGTACCTGGCCTTTTTCTTAGGATCCATTTCATCAGCGTCATCTGAAAGTTGTGGGTTTACATTAGGAACATGAGGACTGTTTGATGATTGTGTCTGGTGAACTTGCTGCGCTTGCTGGAAATTTGATGGATAGTTTAAGGGCATCCCGTTCGGTGCGTATGTTATACCGTTCCCGTCTATAGGAATTGGTCTCGAATTGTTTATCGAATCCTTTGTCAACTTGTGTGTCTTCAAGTGTTCACTGAGTTTTTTAGGTGATCCTTTATCTGATGCCAATCTTGTAATAATCTTTCCGCAATAATCGCAGGCTGCTATATTAGGGTCTTGTGAGTCTTGAATAAACCATGACCATACCCACGATTTCTTCTTTGCACCAAATTTTTGTCCTGGTCTATTCTTACGTTCCTTTCTGATTACCGCCTGGCCTTGCTTTTCGTCTACAGCTGTTTGTCCGTGTTGTGGGGCTCCAGATACCTGTCCTCCATGCAGTTTGTGTAAATGCTGAAGTGAATGTTGGGGACGTTGATGGTGTTGATGATTTTGTTGTTGCTGCTGCAGTTGTTGATGTTGTTGCTGTTGCTGTTGGGCCACTGCTACGGCTGCTGCAGACGCTGTATCACCCTGATGACCCTGGGGGTTTTGGAGGTGAGACAACTGTTGTTGTTGAAGATTACTCATCCCTGATAAGCTTCTCTGTGGAAAGGGTGATTGGTTGTATGATGGAAAGGTCAACGGGTTATTATTATTACCAAAGTAGCTCATATTGTGCCTTATGTCTATTAAAATCTGTGATTGATTAGATCATAATACTGAAAGAAAACAAATAATGCTTTTCCCGGAATCAGCTTTCTACGAGCTTCCGGATCGCAAGAAAAATTGAATGACGGTCGGTAGCCGGTATGCCGGTTTGCTTCTCTTATACCGTGTTGTCCTCAGTAAAATACTCTTAGATTGTAGAAACAACCGCTTACTAGAGGAATTGGCTCAATGTAGATACTTCAAAGATACTTTCATAATAATTTGAGCAAATTTGGGAGATGATAATCGGGTGCAATGAGTATTGTGGGTGTCAAGATCGGTCACCGCTCGGTTATAATACGACGAAAATCGCTTGCGAAACCTACACTATCAAACCAAAAAGTCCGAAACGAATAGTTATCATTAAACAGCTAGTTCCAATTGCTGGTATTAGTACCATTTGATTCGATTTGACTATAACGGAGACTACTGGGGCGAATATGCGATGAAAGGGAGCCTCTATTCGAAGACAATCGGCCAAACAACTGGCTAAGAATACACAATCTTGACCTCAGAGAAAGAACAATATCAAACCCGCAACTATGAAGCCATCACCATGGAAACATATAACGGTGGGACCTTATATTCTTGGAAAGGTACGCCCCGATGGTCCTGGATAATAGTTCAAAGGCCATATATCAATTAAGGTGAATAAGCCAGCAACCACGCGCGCATAACCAAGAATTCGTCAATTTTCGCAGCCAGCATAGTAGCCTTGTTTTGGAATAACTACTACTAGAAAGAGTCGTTCAGCAAGCACCGGTGACTTTAACGACCCGTTTAGTTTGGCGAATGTCAAGTTGAAGAGTAGAGAGCATTTGGACCAGCCATGTTTTAATTTTGAGTTCAAGATGCATCGATATATTTATAACGCGGCCGTTCTGTCTTCGTTTAAACTTTGGTAGAAAACCTTGTTACAAACTACCACAACAACTTAATTGATACCATTCAAGTCAAGAATCTACTAACGAACTATCCTTAGTGCTATTTACTCTCATTCTCTCTATCCAACTATAGTCATTCCCTTATACTATTTTTTAACTACAGTCATTCCTTTACATATTATCTCTAAATTTGCTACTACTTACAAAAAAACGAAAAAATGAAGTTTTCCACAATTTATTCCTTAGCCCTCGGTTTTTTAACGGCTCAAACACTTGCTGCTCCTGCTAACGAAAATGAAAAGCGTGATGACGATAAGGTTGTGATTCACCTTACATCTACTGTGCAAAACACCAAGACCAATACGCACATTGTTGAAGGTACCATGTCTACTCATACAAATTGGATTGTGAATACTGCTACCGAAACCTACACCCACTACACGGCTACAGTCACTTCGACTGTGTTCGGTACGCCGTACACATACACTACCGTTGCAAGCACGCCTATCCAAAACAAGGAAGCTGCTCCAAGTACCGATGACGCACAAGATAGTGGTGCAACAGAAACTGCTGCTCCCGAAAACAACGATGCTACTCAAGTTACTTCCACAGAAGCTGTTACCGACTCACCAGACTCAACTGCAGACGCAGATGCACCACAAATCACCCCTCAAAGTGCCACCTCGTCTGACTCGTGGATAATAGAAAATGTTTCCACTGTGACTTCAAACAGTGTTTGTTTCGTCAACTACGACTACTATTATGCCGACGAAGAAGATGATACCGACACTGTCACCTCGACTTCAACTATATATACTACGGTTACCCAAAGCTGAGCCAACTGCATGCTGAGTTAGTTTGGCGGTTTCCCGTCGTGTGCATTAGTCTACAAGCGGTGTTGGTATGGACTCTGGGCTAACATTCGTTTTTTTACTTCTTCCTTTTTTCCACCAGGGTGCAGTCAATAGACTCTTGATCTTTAAATTCTTTCGATTTCAAATTATTTCGGTTAATATATTATTTTGCGTGTATTCATCCTGTAGCAGCCATTATTGGGAGTATCGTCTGATTGTCCTGATCCTTATTTACTCTTTTACATTTACTGCTGATATATTGTTAGCGTGTTGAGCAACGTATATTTTACCTAGAAGAACGCTTTCTATTACCAGAGCTCCAGTCACACCGCATCCTTCTGCCATCTGCCCTGGCCACCATCCATTCTAGAGTCTGAATAAATTTCCCCTATAATATGCTTGCTTTGAGTCTTTTATCACCTCTTTTACCTATAGCCCACCATCTATTCTAGACACATGGCGATAGTACTGTCTTTCCACACCAGCCATACCTGCTAGGGATATAGGGCTTATAGCCCTATTCTCACATGACTGCAGCAATAAATTCATTTTGAAGAAAATTAGTTTTTGTGTCACATTGGGATCCGGGTAATACCGACGGACACAATTCCAAAAAATTTTCAGTCTAGACACCCACCATGGTCTGACAATACCGCTTGACTAGAAGTGAAAAAAAAGTTTGATTTTTAACTTTTATATAGTACTTAATCACATTACCTATAAATAAGACATAATGGGTATGTTACTAGCAATAATTAAGACTTCAGAGATGTATCGAGAGAAAGAAATGACCAGTATAAGGCGTATGAGATGTCCATGAATAATGAATGAATAAATACCTTCAGAAAATGAAAGAAAAGAGTAGTTGAATCGTAGATGAAAATTAACAATTATTGATGGAATATGTATACACGGATATCAAAAGAATGAGAATAAGATGATGATACATATAATAAGATAGAGATAGTATATTCAGTTGGATGGAAAATAGAAAGAGAATGGTGGAGGACGGACAGTCTTACTACGTTGTACTGACATAAATTATCTTGGATATACAGAAGCACCGGTATAGGCACAACATACTAACATAATTATAGTTAACGTTCCAAAGACTAGAAGGACTTACTGTAAGGGTAAGGAATGTCGTAAACATACTCAACACAAGGTTACCCAATACAAGGCCGGTAAAGCCTCTTTATTCGCTCAAGGTAAGAGAAGATATGACCGTAAGCAAAAGGGTTACGGTGGTCAAACCAAGCCAGTTTTCCACAAAAAAGCTAAGACTACCAAGAAGGTTGTTTTAAGATTAGAATGTGTCGTCTGTAAGACCAAGGCTCAATTAGCTTTAAAGAGATGTAAGCACTTCGAATTAGGTGGTGACAAGAAGCAAAAGGGTCAAGCTTTACAATTTTAAGTCTATTGAATACTTTGCTACATTATTACACAAGTATATGTTTAAATATTGTTTTATAGGTTCAATTTTGATTTTTCAATAGCCAAATTGGGGTTTTCAACTTTTTGTTAATAAACTTTACAGAAAATTATTCATTTTATGTATGGGATGTAGTGTAATCATTTGGGTTCATTTTGGGTCTCGATTTGCTGAAATTGTCGTAGTTAACTATTATATGAGGTCAAGCCTAATCAAAACACCGTCGCGATCAAAATCCATATAGGAGTATTTATTTTTTTCTTCCTACATTACATCTTCCTCCATTTAAGCAAGTTTTTTGGTATATATATATCTGATATACTAATACTAATAGCTGATTTCAGTAATATATTAACGAAGCAGCTGAGTGGCTTACCATTAAAAGAAATATATATCGTGTTTTTTTTTTTGAGTCCTATTGTTTGGATTTTGATTCGAGTCGCCCTAAATCATAAACGTTTATTTTCATAGGCGAAATAAACCTTTAATTCAATTAAAACTTCCGTATAACGGTGGATTGTGTTTATATTAATTGATAATAGATATTGGAGATGAATTACGATTACTTGACTGACCAGCAGAAACAACAGCTTTATTTTCAGCAAATGCAGGCTCAGCAACAACAACAACAACAACAACAGCAACATCAACAACAACATCAACAACAACATCAACAACAACAGCAACAGCAACAGCAACAACTACACTATAAGCAACAACAGCAACAACAACAGCAACAACAACAGCCTCAGCCTCCCAGACAGCCATTTACGGCGTTCTTACAACATAATGGATCAAACTCTGACTTACCTCAAATGGGTACTTTCCAGCAAGATTTGCAAAGGCAGAATATTCCAAATCTCAGGTTTTCCGAACAAAACCAACCAAGCGAGTTGGAACCGGAATTTCAGGATGATGATAGCTTTATGGATGAAGATCTCACCGAAATTCACGAACAGCCTCCCACACACGAATTAAATTCATCACCTATGGCCCATCCACATTCATTTCAACAAAATTTTCAAACGCCAACTAAGGACCATGATGTGAATTTAAGGAATCAGCAGTTTCAATCTGTTGATTCTGAGAGATCCTTGGATTTTAAGCCACCGGTAACTTTCACTACCCTCAACAACAACAGCAGCACGAACCTTTCCAGTCCTAGCGAAAGTTCATTCTTGAAGTCAAATTTAAATTTACCAACTTCCAACATTCCTCCATCAAATGCACCCAACGATTCAAATGCTCAAAAGTCTAACTATATATATTTTAATCGTCAACCAAATTCATTGAGTAAAATATCCCAGGATAAGGCTTCGTCGATAAAGTTGAAATTAGAAAATTACTATCAAATGTCAGTTGCTCATGCAATTGAAAGAAACCAAAGACGCTTAGACTTGGAGCATAAATTGTTGAATGAAGAAAGTGGATCTTCTGAAGAACGTAAAAATAGACAGTTACAGAATTTAGGCAAAAAAGAATCTCAATTTTTAAGATTAAGAAGAACAAAATTATCCTTGGAAGATTTCAATACCGTAAAAGTTATTGGTAAGGGAGCTTTTGGTGAGGTTAGATTAGTTCAAAAAAGAGATACCGGTAAGATCTACGCTATGAAAACATTATTAAAGTCAGAAATGTATAAGAAAGATCAATTAGCGCATGTTAAAGCAGAGAGAGACGTGTTGGCGGGCTCTGATTCGCCCTGGGTGGTTTCTTTATATTACTCATTTCAAGATGCCCAATATTTATACTTGATTATGGAGTTTTTACCAGGAGGAGATTTAATGACTATGTTGATTAGATGGCAAATATTTACCGAAGACATCACTAGGTTTTATATGGCCGAGTGTGTATTGGCTATCGAGGCAATTCACAAGTTGGGATTTATTCACAGAGATATCAAACCAGATAATATTTTGATAGATATCAGGGGTCATATAAAGTTGTCTGATTTTGGGTTATCGACCGGGTTCCATAAGACTCATGATTCTAATTACTACAAGAAGTTACTCGAAAAGGAAAATTCTAATCATACCAACCCACACAATGGCAACCTTCAAGCACCATCAATGGCAAACAACAATAGGAATTCCATGATGGTGGATGCAATCCATTTAACCATGTCCAACAGACAACAAATGCAGACTTGGCGTAAGTCCAGAAGACTTATGGCATACTCGACAGTTGGTACCCCCGACTACATTGCGCCAGAGATATTCGTGCACCAAGGATACGGCCAGGAATGTGATTGGTGGTCGCTTGGAGCTATCATGTTCGAGTGTTTGATCGGATGGCCTCCTTTCTGCTCTGAAACTCCCCATGAAACCTACAGAAAGATTCTCAACTGGCAGGAAACTCTCCAGATTCCAGACGACATCCACTTGTCGCCTGAGTCTGAGGATTTGATTCGTAAGCTTTTGACAAACGCAGAAAACAGACTTGGCAGATACAACGGCGCCGACGAAATCAAACTGCATCCCTTCTTCCGTGGGGTCGATTGGGACACCATCAGAAAAGTCGATGCACCCTTCATTCCTAAGCTTCGTTCCATTACCGATACCAGATTCTTCCCTACAGACGAGCTCGAAAACGTTCCCGACTCCCCTGCATTGTCAAAAGCAATGGAGCAAAGAGAACAGGTCCTACAAAATGGCGGAAATGTCAAAGAAGACTTGCCATTTATCGGCTACACTTACTCGAGATTCGATTACCTTACAAGAAAAAATGCTTTGTAAAATCCCGACAATGCATTGCTCCTGCCGTATGCTGCCGCATTATTTCTATTTAATCGTCTGCATTAACTGCGTTATTTAGGTTGTCTCGGCCGACCTTAACCGTTTACTAATTTTATTCCCGAAGCGGTTCGAAAATGTGATTAATTTACTCGTTTCGGATCTATGAATAGTAATCAAGCACTAAGTAAAGGATGGATGAAACATTTTTCAGCCGAATATTCCGATCATGTGATTATATATTAGTATGATCAGAGAAATTATAGCATGATCTATATATATCCGATAATACCTAGGTTTTATAGAATATATATAACACATTTACATTTAAGTTCTGGTAGAAGTATTTAACGAATTCTTTCTTTATTGTAACTTCTAATTGAGATTCCATTGAGCATGAAACCTATATATTCGATAGGATTGGCATCCATAGCGGCAGCCGCTAGTGTGATGAGCAAAGAAAATTATGATACAGCTAATGGATTGGAGAAAATAGAGGTACGGGCTGATCACATGGAACATATGGAACATATGGGCCATGTAGAACACACGAAAAGCAAGAGCGAATGGACAGAGACGACTCAAAGCAGCACTGGGGAGGTTGTGGCAACACCTCACGTAGAGCATCATCATCACGGGATGCCAATTTTGCAGACAGAGCTTTTGCCGGAGGAGAGAAAATTTTGGGAAAACTACAATACCACGACGTATTTCACGGTGGAATCGGAACATAGGGCGGCGTTGTACTGGCACATTGGCTTGACACTCATGTCTTTTGTATTTTTGTACCCAATTTGTCTTGTGTTGAATAATGTGGGATCGAATTGGTACTACGCTTTATTATTTGTGCACTCGACATCGGTATTGGTTGGGTTGATCAGCTTATCGGTGTTTGTGAAGTCAATTCCGGACTTGTACCCTAATAATGCCTATAATAAGATGAGTGTGATTTTGGGGATTTCCACCATCGTGCATGTCATATTTGCAGTCTTCAACTTTGGATACAAGGCAGCAACTAGTAAAGATGCTGTTTCCGCTGATTACTTCACTGTGTCCGATGAAGAGAGCCAAGAGTCATGTACATCGCCTTCGGCCACTTTATACGATACTCCGAGAGATAATTCCAATTCGATCGAAAGAAATGATTCGATGGACTTTAACTTGAAGACGTCTCTCGATTCAATGTTTCCGGCTAAAAAAGGTGGCAGCAGATTATTGAAGAAGGTAACTCGCATGCCTGTGGTTAGTACTATGGTTAACTTTTTTGGCAAATTTTCCGTGTATATTTTCAATTTGTTGAATTGGTGTCATTTCTTCTACTTTTTGGTTTACTTACCAACCGCTATTGCCACCTTTGGCTGCTTCGGCCAGGGAAGTTATGTTTTTAATTTGTTGGCCCATTTCATCAAGGGTGGTGTCTTCTTCAGCTTAGGACTCTTGTACTTGGCTAGATACTGTGGCGCATTCACAAACAAGGGCTGGGCTTGGAACCATAAGTTTATCAAGAACTACGAATTGAAACTCAGTCGCTGGAATAGAATCCAGAGTAAAGGTTTATGTACGATGGAAATGATTGAATCTTCTTTAATCTTGTTTTACGGATGCACTAACGTTTTTATGGAACACTTAGCCAATCCTGGTGGTGAATGGACTGCTAAAGATTTGCAGCATGCATCGATTGCATTCATTTATATTGGATGTGGTTTGTGTGGGGTCTTGACTGAATTCAAGTTGGCTAACTGGAGGTTCGAAAAATCAATCCATAACTTCGAAAGCTTCAATGACCAATCTTTCTCATCAAAAATTGTGAAGGCTGCTCCAGGATTTTCTCCAAACCCATTCCCAATTTTGACTATCTACTGGACTGGTGTTTTGATGTCACAGCACGCCCAAGCTTCTATGTTATCTACGGACATTCACAAACAATGGGGGAATTTGTTTGTGTTAGGTACTGTTTTCAGATTCATTACTTATTTATTACTATTGATCTTACCAGCTAATAAGGAGTTAACTAAACCACTCAGACCTATCAGTGAGTTGTTAGTATGCTTTTCATTATTATGCGGTGGTTTGATCTTCATGGAATCTTGTGATCCAATAGTTTACGCGTTTGAATATAGAGGATTTACCTCTATGTTCACACTTAACATTTCCTTAGGTTTCATCACCTTATTAATGAGTTGGGAAATGAGTGTTTTCGCATTTAAAGATTGGCTACTTAAAAGAGCCTAATCCTTTTTCATGATTGCTTTCTATTTATTATAAATATGTGAGGAATTAATTCCTCTTTCTAATCCTTAATGTCTAATGTTGCTAATTTAACTAATTTCGTTATTTCGTTTTGTCAATAAAGTAGTGTTTTAAATATTTGACATTGTATTACGTAGTTTTCATTTAAACGCCTCAAAATAAATTACGAGACAACTGTATTTTGCTCTCTGATATTATTCAGCACGATAAGTCTACAGAAGAAAGAATTTAATGCCATTATGTTGGTGAAATAAGAAGTGATATTTTCTCACTAGTACTTTCGTAAACCACTTCTCGATTTTTTCGCTCACTGAAAAATTCCACAGATTTTGAAATTTAACGAGAAATAACTTCTTATCGACAACAATAACGACAATGGATTCTTTCAATTCATCGAAGAGAACCAGAGACGAATTCGAAAGGGATAATCAACATAATGAAGTGGATGTTGATTCCAAAAAGCAACATTTAGATCCAACTACTGAATTAGTTACAAATGTTTGTAAAGATATTAGAAGAATTGGAGAAAATGCAAATCTTACAAGCCAAATTGACGATATTTCATATATTTCGAACCCGATAGTTGCAGAATTCGAAAAGATTGATAAGTTGAGAGTTTCCATCTTGAACACTTTATACTCTATTATAATTGAGCAACCCCAAAAGATAACCTCATTGAGTATTTTAATCTTGTTATGTAACGCTAAAAATTTCTTGGTCTCCAAATACGTTATAGAATTTTTTCATTCTAAAGCCCAAGGTTTATTAGATAAGATAAGCGAAGAACAAGAAAAGAAGAATGAAGAAAATAAGGATGAAGAAATGAAAGATGAAGTAGATGAAAACGAAGGAAAAGAAAAAGAAAAAGAAGCGAAGGAAATTAAGAAGGAAGAGAACAAGGAAGAAATCCTTCAAGAAGATGCAGGTGTCTTCAATAATTTAAAATCAATCTTGAAATTCTTAGCTTGTTTGTCACCCATAATTGATAACTATTCAGTTATTAATGTTTTTAAACAGTTCTTGAATTTATCAATAGACCTACAAAAACAAAGTGAAACCAGAAACGGAATAGCTGAGGAAATATTTTATAACACATTAATTTCAGTACCTTACTTATTGAGTAATGATACATCCGAGGAAGCAATTAACCATTGTAATGATTTGTTAGAAATCGCATCTAACTTTAGAATTAAAGATGGTGCTAAGACTATTTCATTATTGCAACCATTCGATTCAAAATTAAATAATTTTTCAGATAAATTACCATACAACCCTGAAAAGATGATAAACGTAATATATCCGTCATTAGTCGCCTTGCAAGGAGAAGGCAAAGATTGGGCTAATTTGAATGGTAAATTGTTCTTGAATTTCAAAGAATTGATTGATCCTATTATTGAAACTTCATTAAAGAATAATGTTATTTCGAATGAAATTGTTAAGCATTCTTTACCTCAATTGTCTCTCCCTTCGGTTGGGACATTATCAACTTATAAACCACATGGCTTGATTGATAATTTATGGTATAGAAATACTAGAATTTTATTCCAAGTTTACAATACTACGGAATTTGAAACAGTTCCTGCTGTAAACTCTTATTTCGGGTTGGTCTTTAAAGATTTAGCTTTCGACATCTTAACAAATCTATCATTCAACAAGAACGAAACAGCAATTCAATTATCGATTTTAGATCTTTATTTCGCTAAGAACTTATTTGCGCCAGCAGGGTCCTCCGTTGATCAATTGACGATGATTAATAATGATAACGTCTCTGGCGAAAATAATCCACCATTATCTACATGGAAAATTGAAGATATTGCGGTTGAAAGTATATTAACAATGATTTTTCAATTACCAAATCCTTTGAATTATGAAATCTATTACTATACTGTGTTAATTGCTTGTTGTAGAGAAAGTCCTGAATCTATTGCACCTGTATTTGGTAGAGCTATTAGATTTTTTTATAACAATTTAGAAACTTTAGATTACGAATTAAAGATTCGTTATTTGGATTGGATGACGATTCAAATTTCAAATTTTGAGTTTAGTTGGAAGTGGGACGAGTGGGTTAAAGATTCCCAGAAGTTTAAGAATTTAAAATATCATCCTAAAAAGAATTTCATTAAAAATTTAATAGCAAAGGAAGTGAGATTATCAAATAAGAATAGAATCAAAGAAAGTTTCGTCACAGTTAATCCAGATCCTGCTGCAACCGATAAATTAATTCTTTTAGATGAGTTTTATCAATACTTGAATATTTCATTATTCCCTAATGAATCAAAATACATCATTGATTACGATAATGAATTATATGGTAATAATGATGAGCTCAAAGAAGTATTGGCTAAGTTAGAGTTTGAAAGAAAGGAAAAACTAGCAAATAATTTAACAGTATCTCCACAAGAAGAATTGATTTATAATTTCTCGAACTCAGGATTACCTTTGCACGAGGTGTCCAATAAGGTTTATGATTTAATAATAGCTAATTGGAAACCAAACAGTGAGTTTTATGATCTATATAAAGAAATATCAACGAATTTAGAGGATTACGCTGCTATAAATTCAGACAAATTCCTCATCAATTTGTTTTTCCAAACTTACGCATACATCGGATCCAGATCGATTTATTCTGTGGTTAGTTTATTGTCAAGAGATATTATCAAATTGAAGTTTTTGAGTGGCGTGGAAATAAAGGATGAAAATTATCAAGCAAGTGAATTTCAATTTCCAGTCGTTGAATTGACTGAAGAACAATTTGATAACAGACAGAATTGGATTATTGATTCTATCTTCAGAATTTGGGTCCATCAACCTCAAGTAGTGTTTTTGATTTTAGAATACTTGATTGAATTTGAAGTTTTAAAGCCAAAGTATTTGATAGGCAAGACATTAAATTTGGCTTCCAACTTAATCATCGAAAATGTTTCATGTATGGAATCTGTCAATAGAGTTTTGATCAACTTTTCTAAATCTTCCAATGATGAGTTCAAAATTCTTGTATTGAAGTTATTTGAATTAATTGTTAAAAACTTGAACGAGATAGCCAGTACTTTAGGAACTAATACTTCGGATGAAGTGTCAATTCTCAAGGATTTTAGTGATGAAGAATCTGAGGACATAGAATTAATGAACAAAGTTGATAATCAGTGGTTATTCTATGAATACAAAGGGCTTTTAAAGAGTTACTTACGGAAGTTCAGTATTTATAACTCTGGTTTCATTGGCGAAATTGAAGATTTATTTAAAGGCATTGAAAACGAACCCGTTAGAAATGATACTTTGAACTGGTTAAAGGAATTACAATAATCTATGTATCTTTATTATATAATCTAATGTATCTTAAATCGAACTATAAAAACCGATATCCGAAAAAAATAGTTATCGCTTAGTTAAATGCTGGTCAACATGACAGATAACACCAACGACCATACATTAGCGGTAGAAACCATTGACTTAACGTATAAGTTCCCTTCAAACAATAGAATAGGATTACAGGATATTAACCTTCAAATTCCATGGGGATCAACTAATTTACTCCTCGGACAAAATGGTGCTGGGAAATCGACTTTATTAAAAATCTTAGCAGGTAAGACTTTAATTAAACAAGGAGGACTAAAACTAGGAGGATTCGACCCATTTGATTTTTCGAAGGAAAGAAACGAAAAGCAGAATTCTGATGTCAATAATTTAATTACTTATCTAGGGACCGAATGGGCAGCCAATCCTGTTGTTAAAAGAGACATCCCTGTGAACTTATTGGTATCTTCAATTGGAGGAGGAACTTATTCCGAAAGAAGAGACGAATTGATTAGAATTATGGATATTGATCCTGAATGGTCAATGGCATACATTTCTGATGGTGAGAGAAGAAGGGTTCAATTAGTGATGGGTTTATTAAAACCATGGAGGTTATTATTATTAGATGAAGTTACAGTCGACTTAGATGTGGTAGTTAGACAAGATTTGCTTAGTTTCTTGAAGAAAGAATGCAGACTTCGTAATTGCTGTGTAATCTATGCTACACATATTTTTGATGGATTAGGCAAAAACTGGTGTGATAGAATTATTCATTTAAATGAGGGAATGAAGGTGGACGATATAAATATGAATGATATAGAGTTCGTATCCAAAAAGGAGAATCTGCAGAGGGCCAATGACAAAACTATACAAGTAGAATTAGCAGAATCATTACACCCTTTGGCATTAAATTGGTTGAGAGAAGACTTGAGAGAAAGAGGATCGAGAGAAGAAGAGAAGACGAAAATGGCCAAAAGGCAGGATGATTGGAATAATGCAAGAGAAGAGAATTATTTTGATGGGAATGAATCAAAACTCAAGGATTACTTTAAGGCAACTAGAAGTGCTAAATAATTATTTTATTATATATAGACGATATATACGCTAATGACATATGCAATATCAACCCGTGAATGCTTGATTGTTCTTTACTACAGTTCCTCTAATAAGAATTTACGTTCTAACTCCATGAATTTAACGATATCCTGATGCTTTTTCAAATTTTCATTTAGTACCCAATTTCGATAGTTCAAGTCTATTATATCTATGCTTTGATCTTTTCCAAAACTAAGAATATCGCGGATTCGACCTGGCTCCTCTTCCATCTTACGTCTTATAACGTTATGCTGTTTGTTTCTAGGTGTCAAGGGAGTGGTAGGACCTCTCTTTTGTGATTGAGTATTAGAAAGTCCGTCTTTGACTATTTTAGACAAATTTATTGCAGAAACAGTCTCGTTTTCGATCTCCTCATGTTCTCTGTAATCATTACGGGGTGGAGTACGTGTTATATTCTCTTGGTTCATCTCGTACAGCTTAACAATGTTATTTAAAAATGGTTATTCTTTCTATGGCCCTGTTATTGTGGTTTTGTAAACAAATTATAACGATGTTATATGCACACCGAAGTTATTGCTGCAACACCAAGAAGACAAGACTACGCCAACTATCTATACTCTAGCATTACCTAGAGACAATACCTCAACATCACTGCACGATGTTAATGCTCTGTATCCCCTTTTATCGTAAGTTTTATTTTGAGAAATACAGAAGTCAGCTCAGTTTACAAAACACACAGTTACTAGATCAATAAGTTTTGCAACTTTTCAATTACAAAACCAATATATCGTAAGACACCTGGTTATCACTGACATCGGCTAAGATACATCAAAAGCATTTAATACGCTTCGAATAATCTTTCAATTCCATTATTTTGTCAAAATCAAGTCTCAAGTTGTGTTGCTTGTCCTGCCGCAACACTTCAGTCGAGGTCAATTCAAAACTCACTGCAAATAGCATTCATTTACATGGTCTATAAGTCGATTGGAAATATCATACATATACCCCTCAAAGTCTACTCAATAAATGGCAATTTGAAGTACCACTATGTACGATAACTTTTTGCATCAAATACGCATTTCGTGCCTTATGCGACAGTAGTTAGATGAGATGACCTCTATCAAATTGACCCACCATTTTTGATCCTGACTACGTGAAAACTACCCATTTAAGCCATTGACCTAGCTACTACTCTCCTGCTCTCAATAATTCCATAAACCATGCTTGTTTCCTATGATAGGAGCATCTGGAGATGAAAAACGTGGTCGTGTCTGCTTAATTTTGAAATTTTCGTCGACGAAAAAAAATTCGACGCTATAAATAGTGGTGAAATTCTCACCTTGATGTTAGCAGGTATTATAACGTAACTACAAATCACAATGTCTAACAACGAAAGAACTTTTATTGCTATTAAGCCAGATGGTGTCCAAAGAGGATTAATCAACTCTATCTTAGGTAGATTTGAAAACAGAGGATACAAATTAGTTGGTATCAAGTTAGTTCAACCGACTGAATCCTTATTAAGAGAACACTACGATGACTTACAATCTAAGCCATTCTTCCCATCTTTATTATCTTACATGTTATCCGGTCCAGTTTTAGCTACTGTCTGGGAAGGTAAGGATGTTGTTAAGCAAGGTAGAGCTATCTTAGGTGCTACCAACCCATTACAATCTGCCCCAGGTACCATCAGAGGTGACTACGCCGTTGACATGGGTAGAAACGTTTGCCACGGTTCTGACTCTGTTGAATCTGCTCAAAAGGAAATTGGTTTATGGTTCAAGAAGGAAGAATTAGTTGACTACAAGCCAGCTTTATTCGGATGGATCTACGAGTAAATTATTTAGCTAGTGTTTAAATATGTTCAATTGGTAGTACTTTTGTCAATGAGAGTATATCAAGTCGATTAAATAGCTGAATAATTGAAAATGAAAGATTTCATTTCTAGTAGAAGGTCGTGTAGAAATAACCAATATCAATACCAGTTGAATATATGTATATATCAATCTGGAGATATTGTATGTTTACAAAAATAATACGAACTCAATTGATATAAGCAGAGTTTCTTGTTTTTCGTAGTTCACTTATATTAGTAGGTTCTTGGTCATGTCGGTGGATGATAATTTATTTAACGATCAAAATAATGATATGCTAGATGCAAACGATGAGGACGAAGAAATGGAAGACACTGAGATCAATAATAACGAATACGGTGAAGATGAAGAGGAGGAGGAAAATGAAGACGACGACGAGAATGATGAGAATAATGAGGAGGATGAAGATGAAGATGACGATGAAGATGATGATGATGACGACGATGACGATGACGACGACGAAAATGAAAATGAAGAAGGTGACGAAGATGAGGAAAGAGCCAAATTCGTCGATGCTCGTGAATCGAATGACTCTGAACTGCAGGCAGATGCTAAGAAGGATAAGGATAATATGATAGTTGATCAATCTGATGCGACAAACGACGAGCAACGTCAAAAAGAAGCAGATAAACAAGATTCATCGAAGACAACATCAGAACAAGACCAAAACGAAATAGACGCAGAAAACAATTTAAACCATGTGTCAAGGGAAACTATAAGAGAGAATTTAATAATAAAGGCTAAGGAATCAAAAGAGTTTGATATAATTCCTTCCGTAGCTATTCCTTATACATCTGAGTGTCATGCATTAGCATTTACTGATGGTCCAAAATGGATTTTAACTGGTGGGGAAGATGGATTTATCAGAAAATACGACTTTATTGCATCTATAGAAGGGAAGTCACCATTAACGATGGCCCAGAGACACAATTTGGTTGACTCCATAACAAAGGCTGGTGTAATTTCATCGTACTGGGAAAATGAGCAACCTTTAACTAAAAAACAGATGATGAAGTCTAATCCCAAGTTAAAGATAAGTGATTTTAGCACAGGTTCCGTGAGTTATGAACCAAAGGTGAATCCAGTATATTCGCTAGATGTAGAAAGAAATGGCTATTGGTGCCTTTCGGGATTATCATCTGGTGGTATTTCATTGTATACTATGAGATATAATGAAGGAAATATCCATCATTATTTCAAGCATTCGCCTAAAAAACAAAGCCCTACCCTAGAAAATGGACATAATGATGCAGTATCTGTATTGAAGTTAAATACGGAACAAAAAAGATTCCTCTCTGGATCTTGGGATAAAACAATTAGAGAGTGGGATTTAAATACAGGCAAATGCATTAACTTATTCACTGGTAGCTCTGGACAAATCTCAAATATCCAATATAGACCAGAAGGCTTGGCTGACTTTGCATTATCCTATGAAGATTCAGATGTCAAAATTGATGAGCAAGACGTGAGGCCAGAAAGCGATATTGATTCCTTATTCGGAGATAGTGATAATGAAAATAATGAAGATAGAAAAAATATTGAATCACTGGATAAGTCTAATTCATCAAAATTAGTAACTAATGATTCTAAAGCAACAAATAAAACATTTAGTAACGATTCAATATTTATGAGTTCAAGTATTGATGGTACTATTAATCTTTGGGATGTTAGAGTTTCAAACACAACTAGTAGTCCTGTATTAAGGTTGGGGGTCTCGGAGGGTATTCCTCCTTGGTGTATGTCGTCTACATGGTCTAATTGTGGTGAATATATCTATGCTGGTAGAAGAAACAGTACAGTTGAAGAATTCTCAATTAAAATGCCACATAAAAGATCAAAGTCAGGTCATAATAAAGATACTATGGTTCCAAATGTTCTGAAATTGTTGCAGTTTCCTAAAATATCAGGTCCTGTTAGTGCCATATCTACACTTCCGAACAATGATTTCATTTTATGTGGGTCAAACGATAATATCAGATTATATAATTTGAACCTCTATAACGATTTGTCTAATACGTCCAGCACAACGAATAAGAAGCCTGCAACACCTTTCATGATTATACCAGGTCATCACGGTGGTATACTAAGCTCTTTGTATGTGGACGGGACAGGTAGATTTATGGTAAGTGCTAGTGGTAATAGAGGATGGGGACATGCAAATTTCACAGATTCTGTGTTAATTTATGAAATCGATTTTGAAAATGATAATTAGACAATCTCTTATAGAACTTAAATAGTAATGAGATAATAATGAAACAGATCTAAGTTATTAAAACTGTTTAAATTAAATTATATAACCATAAACTATCCAATAAACCCATAGATGTTATTTCTTAGGTTCCCTAAGCCAACTTGCCCAATATTAATCCCACTATTCACAATATCCGAATCTTTTAAAGAGGTATACATTTCACGTACAGCGCCACCTGCTTCATATGCTAATGTATTACTTGCGCTAACAACAAAATCATATAGTGCTTTAATAGATTCCAGATCAAGTATATGATATCCAAACTTTCGGATCATCGACAACGAGCCTGATAAAAGCCTTGATATATTCAAACTCTGATAGCTTGGATCATTTTTAATCAATAAGAAATGCATCATAAATCCAATAAATCCGACAGTAAAGCTGATTCTGTAAAAGTTCGTTAAAAGAACATTATGCTTATTGTTGCTACTGAGTTTACCCTCTGGAGTTGGCGAGCCATCATGGTGAAATAGTTTCTTAAATATCATAGATGAGGTATTAGCAATCTTAGTATTTATCGAAGATGATGCAGATGTAAAACTTGTGATAGATGACGATAACAGGTTTGGTAGACTTGTATCGAGATCAGAAGTGGAGTTTGATAATTCTTCTTGTTGTTCTAATAATTTTTGCTGGAGCGATATGTTATAAACAGTTTGCTTTGACATCTCTTCATCTTGAAGTTGGATAAGATCATTTAATGAAGAATCGGGTGGATTTTGATCGTTAATTATTAAATAGCTGTATTTATAATCTTTGATTTTCCTATCAACAAGTATGTCTGATGTATTTAATAGGACAGAATTTTGATTAAATTCCTTGAACCATACATCGTATGTAACATCTGAATTTTCAATATCACTGATTAAATAGCTTTCGATCAAAATCCTTGTTTTATTCAAAATTTTATTAAGATCGGAATCAGTCATAGAGCTGAATAAGTTATTGGGGGACACTAAGGTATGAACTAAATCTATATCAATTTCGGGTCCTTCTGCATTAGTTAAGTCATTCGGATCGATATTTAACTGGTTAAATATGTCTTCTTTATGAAACAATAACAAAGCAACATATAAATAAACATTGACAATCACAGAATTGTAACTTAATATAAAGTCCCATATTATTAGTAGTTGATGCAAATTATTTAAATCGTGACTGTAAAAAGTCAAGATTGAGGATAAACCTTGATAGAAGTTATAATCATAATGAAACCCAGATGACAGAATATATGAGTTACTGGATTGTTTTATCAATTCAAATAAATCTGTATCAATAACTTCTAGAAGGCTAGGAATTAATTTCAAATGGTTGATAGAAAGGTTTATATCGGTGATCATATAATCTCTTAAATGAAATACTGTGAGCTTTTCTAATAGTTTGAACGCCAATTCGTCGTTTTTTGATGAATTTGGTTCGCCGCCTTGTTCATAGCAAACAATTAATATAATACTTGCTATATCATGATAACCTTGATAATAATTAAGACATGGATACTTCCTAAGTATCTTGATTATAAGATTCAATAGGCTTTTCTTTAATTGGTCTATATCATTATTCGAGAAAATAGCAGTAAATGATTCGTTTTGTAGGTGATGATAAGATTGCATATGTGATAGCACAGTAAATGATCTTTGAATATCCAATTTAACCTGGTCTTCATCCTTATGTGGCGGTAAATCATTTAAGTCTAAATCATTAAGTAAAAATGACGTAACCGATTGTCTATTCAACTTTAAGTTTGGTGAATCTATTCCTGATTGCTTGTTCGACAATATTTCTTCATCTGTTTCATCCCCAGAATTAGCAACACCTAATATTAGTGGCCATATTTTCATTCTGAACTCATTATTTATTAGCCCTTCTGTTGATCTCAGATATTCCGCTAATACATCAGTGTTTTTATTTTGCAATGCTTCACTTAGCGTTTTTGCCTTCAAGCTCTTGATAGTATCACTAAGTGGCACTCCATCATTGTTGTAAAATGATTTACCCAATTTATCAAAGTCCATTGAAACCCAATCTGGATGCAGCTGCAATAGCGTTTGTGAATCTTCTTTAACTGACATTTCGCTTGAGTAATTTATTCTTCTTATAAAAAAACTCTGATATTTATTGTTTTCTGTAGAAAACCTTTTTCTAGTACAGTAACTTGCTTATTTAATCTATAAGATTATCATTTAACAGGGTATTAAACAAACGTCCTGAAGTAAGATTGAATCACAAGCACCCTAATCTTTTTATTATCGATTATCCTTTTTTATCTGGTGCTCGGATGCCGAGCTGTCCAAATCTTACCCCATGATCATCCATTCTTTCTATATACGTTTATTCATTTCTAGTCAATTGAAAAACAGAGGAACTAGTCACTAGTAAAATAGTAAATATGAGTATTGAAGCTTCCAAAATTATTGATGCTAAGCCTGTTGATGGGCCAAGTTTAGAAATCGCCGTTACGTGGGCTGATGGGACCGTATCCAAGTACCACAATATTTGGTTACGTGACAACTGCCATTGTGAAGAATGTCATTATAGTGCAACTAAACAACGTTTATTGAACTCATGCTCGATTAAAGCAGATATAAAGGCAACTTCTGTGGACTATGATGCTAAGGGCTTGAGAATTGTGTGGGATCAGAATGGCCATAGGAGTGAATATGAAAGTGATTGGTTAGCATTGCACTCGTACAATCCAAAGCTAGTACCAAACCAATTGAAGATCAAAGGAGAACAGGAAGTCTTAAAACAGAGCTATTGGAAAGTCAAAGACATTAAAGACAACTTTCCCAGTGTTGAGTTTAGGGCCATTATGAACTCGGACGACCGCACAGATAATGAAGAAGCTATTAAAGATTGGTGTTTGAAAATCTGGAAATACGGTTTCTGCATGATCGATAACGTTCCTATTAGCCCTGGAGAGACCGAGAAGCTCTGTGAGAAAATCACCTACATTAGACCTACTCATTATGGTGGTTTCTGGGACTTTACCAGTGATTTATCGAAGAACGATACTGCGTACACTAATTTTGATATCTCGTCTCATACCGATGGCACTTACTGGAACGACACCCCAGGATTGCAATTATTCCATTTATTATATCATGATGGAACTGGAGGTACTACGTCCCTAGTCGATGCATTCCAATGTGCCAAAATATTGCAAAAGGAGAACCCAGAGGATTTTGAGTTATTGACAAAAATTCCAGTACCTGCCCATTCTGCCGGGGAAGAAAAGGTTTGTATTCAGCCAGATATTCCTCAGCCTATATTTAAGCTTGACAATGAAGGCGAGTTGGTTCAAGTACGTTGGAATCAATCTGACAGATCGACAATGGACAGTTGGTCAAACCCAGAGGATGTTCCAAGGTTTTACAAGGCCATCAGTAATTGGTATAAGATAATCACCGATCCAGAAAACGAAATATTCTATCAATTAAGACCAGGCCAATGTTTGATTTTTGATAATTGGAGATGCTTTCACTCTAGAACTGAGTTTACAGGTAAACGAAGAATGTGCGGTGCGTATATAAACAGAGACGATTTTATGTCACGGTTAAAGTTATTGAACTTAGGAAGAAAAGCAGTCTTGGATTCTATTTAATTTACATTAGTAAGTTCAAAAAGTTTTTTATTTTTTTTGAAATATGTAAAATTATACACCACTCTAACTCAAAATCTTTATGTAGCTTAAGCAAAGATCGGAATCTTGTCCCAATCCCATGGGTTATTAAATCTTAAATCTTGATCTAACTTAGAGATTTCATTGAAGTCTTCCTTTTCTAAATTGAAATCATTCACTTCCAAGTTTTGTAATAATCTGTCTGGGTTGTTTGATTTTGGAATGATAGCAATGTTTCTTTGAGAAGCCCATCTTAACAAGACTTGTGCTGGAGTTTTCTTATGCTTATCGGCAATCGACTTAATAGATTTGTGTTCAAATAAGGTTGGAGTATCCAAAGCTTTAGAGTGTTTTAATTCCAAGAAAGATTGTGGACCAAATGATGAGTATGCAGTAATAGCAATATTTTGAGATTGGACGTATTCAATTAATCTTGGTTGTTGTAAGTATGGGTGGTGTTCGATTTGTAAGACGGCTGGTCTAATCTCGGCACCTCTTAACAAGTCGTATATTAAAGCACCTGAGAAATTGGAGATACCAATTGACTTGACTTTTCCGGATTTGGTTAATTTTTCCATTGCCTTCCAAGTTTCTGCCAATGGCACATTTTCATAGTGGAACTTGTCTCCATCCCCGCAGTAGAATCCTGGTGGGTACTTTTCTTCAATTGGAACATATTTGAAAGCAATTGGGAAATGAATTAAAAATAAATCAAGGTATTCCAAATTCATGTCACTCAATACTTTTTTCAAAGCTAATTCAACGTGCTTTGGGTCATGGTAACTATTCCAAAGCTTGGAAGTGATGAACAATTCATCTCTAGCTACTAAACCTTCCTTAAGCGCTCTGTTGATACCTTCACCAATCTCCTTACAATTACCGTAATCTTGGGCAGCGTCGAATAATCTGTATCCTACCTTAATGGCATTGTAAATGGTGTCAGCACAAGTATTATTGTCGACTTTCCAACAACCGAAGCCAACTAATGGCATTTCATATCCTGAATTTAACTTAATAGACATCTTAATTGATCTTTTTCTTTACTCTTAGTTTATAACTACTATAAGTTGAAAGTGAAAATTCCCCTAAATGTGGAGGGAGGTTCGGACTTATTTATAGTCCAAATCTGGCCGACTGAAATCCGGGTTGCTTTAATGGTTTTTTTTAATAGTGGTGCTCGATCCGTATACTACTTTTATCCAATTCGCAGTTCTTGGTTAATCCGTATCGAATATCTATGCACTATTACTCCCATTAATTAACCCGAACTACAACATGCTCGGCTCACTATTATTGCCCCACATAATCCCCTTTTTTCTTACAAAAAATATATCGTAACAATAAGGTGACTTTAGGTTCTACATGTTCACGTATTCTGCCTAGTACTTCTTAAAACGGAAAAACTTTCGGTAGAGGGGTTGAGTAGTCAAATTTATTTGTAAGGTAAGTCTACGAGAGGAATCAGTTGTCGCAATTAGTGTCATGTTTGATGTCAAATTTCACCTGTTTTTTGACAAAAGTCTCGCTTGATGCAACAGCCCGATTTGGCTATTTCATAAACATTAACAATCTAAGATCGTTAGACATCTTTGAATATGGATATTAGATAGCGTAAATCAATAAGGAGTCAGTAGAAACTTCATCAAACATGACATCAATCCCATTGTATTTGAAGATCAAAAGCTCCAGGAAGGACAAAGAAGCGTTATTTGAGACTAGTGATAAAAGCATTACGCTTAACGGCAAGCAATACGATTTCACAAAGATATATAGTGGTAGTAATAATACATACAAAGAATTAATAGAAACACTTGACCCATGTTCATACTTTATATTTATGGGTCCTACAGGAAGTGGTAAGACTACTACACTTAAACAAGTGATCTATGAAAAGATTCATCAATTAGAACAAGCTGCAACAGAAGCATGCATTACTGCATTCGAAGTGAGTGAAAACAAGTATGTAATAGATTTGCTTGAAACGCCAATAAAAAAAAAAGAGTACCATAGCTCGTGCTTCGAATCTCAATTGCATAAAAGAAAGTTAAAGGGAGATTCTCATGAGGTGTTGGAAACTGTTTTTAAGAAGAGGAATACGAAGAAAACAGCCTTTAATAGTGAATCTAGTAGATCTTGTCTAGTGGTAACATTCTTTTATGATGACAAAAGAGTTATCTACATTGATCTTATGGGTAACGAAAAGTATGAAAAATCGCTGCTGCTATCCAATGCGTTTGCCAATACGAGTATGTCATCTATAACGCAATTACTTGCAAACAAGGCATCCAATAGTGGAAGATCTTCCAATCTCATAACCAATCTAATTTTCAAAGGTAATTTTCCAAGTCCAGGAAAGATTAATATTATTTTAAACGTTGATCCTAATGGAGATATCACTTTGCTTAAATCTATATTAAATAACATTGCATCTTTGGTCAAAAATTTTAAATTGGAAACCACAGGATCTAAAAAATTAGATAAAACGCCTAAGATTCCACATTATGCCAAACCTACAATTTCTTCCCTTAGTCCAACTAGAATGGCTCCCAGATTGACTTACAGTGTGAGTCCAATAAGAAAACAAAGCTCCACTCCTTCAAAATTCAAGATGATTCCAAGTACAGACAAACTTAGCATCGCTCCTAAATTATCAGGATCAAGGATTCAAAAATTCCAAACACCTACAAGAAACGCATTTATTGCTCCAATCAAGACCTCGCTGCCTTACAGAGCGAGTCATTTGACCAATAATTTTTATGAAATTCAAATTTCTAGTTTGAAAAAGACAATCAAAGATTTGGAACTTGAAATATCGGATTTCAAGCATGAATATAAAGAAATATTTCAAACAACAACTCTAGGAAATCGAGATATTAGTAGCATTGGAACTTTCGAACTAACTGATAATGATTCCAAACTGATCTCGCTAAAAGGAGAATTAGATGAATTAATTAGAATTAAGGCCACTAATGATAGCTTGTTGAAGCAGAAAAACGTCTTAAATGAAAAAGTCAATGATTTCAAAGTAGACTTTTATAAGTTCAAGCTGGAGCACAGTAACTTTACAGGTAATATAGAAGCATTGAAAAAGGTTGTAGGCTCATTTGATACCAATGATAGTCAAATAAGGTTAAAAAATAATGAAATGATGGAAGAAGTGAAGACTATAAAGGAAAATTTAAACAAGGCGATGCTTGAGAACTCTGTTTTAAATTCACAGCTTAAGACATTAACTACGCAGAATAAAATATCAATGCAAACAATTGAGGATCTTCAGAGAGACAAGATAGAGCAACAGCTTTCAATGGAAAAGCTAGCTCAGGAAAATAATTCCTTGCAAGCCAAAGTCTTAGACACAAAGAATTTAGGAGAAGAGATTTTAGATTTGAAAAAAGTT